GTCTTCCCTTCTCTTAACTCAGATCTTTTCTGAGCGGCTTCGTTGCTGTCTTTCCAATTTCTCTTTGAAAATGGCGACCCAGATGAGTAAGAAGAGAAAGGTTAGTCCACGAAATTTCTTAATTTGTACTTCTTTCCTCACCATCTCTACAACGATTGATCCGTTCTGTTATGTATTCATTGTGTTTTATGTTCGATTTTGTTTCAGTTTGTGGCCGATGGAGTGTTTTTCGCCGAGCTAAACGAGGTTTTGACCAGGGAGTTGGCCGAGGATGGGTACTCCGGTGTCGAGGTTAGAGTCACTCCAATGCGCACTGAGATCATCATCCGAGCCACCCGCACCCAAAACGTTCTCGGTTAGTTTACCTTGGTTTTGAAATTCAGTTGATTAAACAATCTGATTTCTTCGTTCACTGGATTTAATGTCTTATTAACATTCATCAATCTTACGTTCATAATTTTATTCGAATTTTTTGTTGGTTATTTAGGAGAAAAAGGTAGGAGGATTAGGGAACTCACCTCGGTTGTGCAGAAGCGGTTCAAGTTTCCGGAGAACAGTGTTGAGCTCTATGCCGAGAAAGTTAACAATAGAGGGCTTTGTGCTATTGCCCAAGCCGAGTCTCTTCGTTATAAGCTTCTTGGTGGCCTTGCTGTGCGGAGGTGCTTTTTCGTTTTCCTTCCCATAACCACTTATAGCATTTTTATTATTGTTTTGTGGATTTGTCTTGGAAATGGAAATATGATTTATGGTTAGGGAAGAGTGAAGATCACAGATTCCTTATTTTCTTGCTCACAGCTCTGATATATGGTTCTAACAATCTCATTTATGGGATGACTTCGTTTTAGTTTCATAAAAGATGGGTTTGTCCTTGATGTTTTCTTATGTCATCTACAAAGCAGATTGGTGTTTTGGTACCAATCTTGTGTCGGAAGGTGACAATATAAATTGTACTCTTCCGTTTGATAATCATTGTGGAATCATTTTGTTTCACACTGTAACCTTAGGGAGGAGACATGCTTCTGCCTCCATATTTTCCTCAAACTTTCTCCTCCATATTTTCTGAATCTAGAATGGAAAATTCACAATACGTTGAATTAGTAAAATTAATACAGTTTATTATATATTAGCGTAATTTACACATGCCAACCACATATTTTTGAAGAATAGGCAAATTAATAATATATTTTTAAAATATTTATGTGGGGTGTAAGGACTCTGAGATTTGTGTGCTCTCCTGGAGGTGTGAATCAATAGTTTGAGCCTTGCCACTAGGCTGGAGCCTTGAATTTGCTGTTCTTTAACTGAATGTTTGGTTTGTATACTTTTCATTGTTCGTGTGTATATTATTACCTACTAGGTAATGTTGCTACTAAGACCTGCCCCTTTTATTCGTAGTGGTAAAACATTGAAGTTGATTGATTTTGGGCCTATGATGCTATTTTATATCTTTTGACTGATCTATTAATAGTGACAGTTTCAGAGTGAAACTATATTACTATTAGCCAATGTGCTGCATGCTTATTTATGTTCTTTTTCCATCAGGGCATGCTATGGTGTTCTGAGATTCGTCATGGAAAGTGGAGCAAAGGGTTGCGAGGTTAGCTTGTAGCTCAATCCATTGTTATCACTATGTGAAAAGTTTATATAGGGATGTTACATGTAATGCTCAACATGCAAACAGGTTATTGTCAGTGGAAAACTGAGAGCACAGCGTGCAAAGTCTATGAAGTTTAAAGATGGATATATGATATCTTCGGGTCAACCAGTGAGAGATTATATTGACTCAGCTGTTAGGCACGTTCTTCTCAGACAGGTTAGCTTTTGAGAGTTCATAAGAAACAGGTGCTTACATGTTATTACATCTGTCATTTGGCTTAATGTTGTTTTGTTTTTGGGTCAGGGAGTTCTTGGCATCAAAGTTAAGATCATGCTTGATTGGGATCCTAAGGGCAAGCAAGGGCCTACCACCCCTCTTCCTGATGTTGTCGTAATCCATTCTCCCAAGGAGGAAGAAGAAATCGTCCATAGACCAGCAGCAGCAGCAGCAGCAGCAGTTTTGACCACTGATATTGAGGTTCCAGTAGTAGTAGCAGCTTGAGAGGCTCTTTTTTTTTCTAGATATTTATTCATGGAATCAACCATCATCAATTTTGTATTTTCTGTCCCAAGATTTCGTTTCATGTCATTGATCTGTTGGTTTGAGCCTCCTGACTGCCCAACTTTCTTTTGGATAATCAAACAAAATGCATATGGAGAACAGTTTTTTATGATCCCTTAAGCCTTTTTATATATTATTAGCTTTTGCTTCATAATCATATATTTTGAACCTCTTGAACTGAATCTCCCTTGCCGTCTAGGTTTTGTTTCAAGAATTTAGTAGAGTAATTGAAAAATAATCGTTAAATCTTGATATGATAACCCTTCTGTGGTGTCTGCTTATTGGGTCTTGAATTAGGGAATCGAATTTCATTTTGAGTTACGGAAAGGAGGAAGATACTTTATATATATGGACTCATGAACTTGATAAGCTCTAGCATGTAATAGGTCATTGATAAGCTCTAGCATGTAATAGGTCATCCCATCTCCCGATCGTCTCTATGAAACAATTGAGAGACGATCTTTTAACATTCCCTTCTAAGGATGGCTAGTCCAAGATGCTGAACAACAAAGTTTGATTTTGGAAAAACACCATCATTATGGAAACGTACACACGTAGTAGAAAAATTATGCCAGTCCATTGAGAAATAGTATTCTACAAGTGAATATTTGAGACAAGAAATAGTCCATTGAAAAATAGTATGTTATAAGTTAATATTTAAGACAAGAAACGAATCCTACAAGTGAATATTTAAGACAAGAAACAGTCCATTGAGAAATAGTATGCTACAAGTGAATATAAGACAATAAACGAATCCTAATTTTAAGATGACTGACCCTTTTAATCCAGAAACAGTCCATTGAGAAATAGTATGCTACAAGTGAATATTTAAGACAAATTTTAGGATGACTGACCCTTTTAATCCAGAAACAAGACAAATTTTAGGATGACTGACCATTTTAATCCAGAAACAGTCCATTGAGAAATAGTATGCTACAAGTGACTATTTAAGACAAGAAACGAATCCTAAATCCTAATTTTAGGATGACCGACCCTTTTAATCCAGTCCATATAATGTCTTTTTTGGGAGCTCGAGGAAATGCATCTCAAGTACACCAATTAGTAGGTATGAGAGGATTAATGTCCGATCCACAAGGACAAATGAATGATTGGAAATGCATCTCAAGTACACCAATTAGTAGGTATGAGAGGATTAATGTCTGATCCACGAGGACAAATGATTGATTTACCCATTCAAAGCAATTTACGCGAGGGGCTGTCCTTAACGGAATATATAATTTCTTGCTACGGAGCACGTAAAGGAGTTGTGGATACTGCTGTACGAACATCAGGTGCTGGATATCTTACACGCAGACTTGTTGATGAAGGGAGATAGTGCATCAAGTTGTTCGCAAGGGCCAACTTGATCCTCTTCCCCAGGGATCCCAGATGAGGGAACCCTAAAAGAGCCGCCAACTCCAACTACCGTCCATGTACGATCCATACTAGATCTGACCAACTGCCCATCCTATTTCCTCTACGCAAAAATTACCACCGTGATTGCACAGTAGTGTTAAGGAGGTTGGCAGAACCTCTAAAGCCCCGAGTGAAAAAGTGCTTTCGTTGTTGTGGAATAAGAAGCCTTCGTATTTTAATGCATGTATTTAATTTATTCGGAGCTATCCGAGCGAGATCCACTTTTTGGGGAATATGGGTCGAAGCAATAACAAGAATATTTCTAGTGGAACATCTTTCACAATCCCTGGAGAGATAGTTCACTAAACCAAGGGATAAGTAATTCGACGCATTCACATCCAGATCATGAATGTTTGGAATCCATATTATGCAAGGAGACATTGCTTTTGCTAATTCAAATTGAAGGGTGATATAAAATCGATCTATTTCGGCATCATATCCATAGTTAGCGGCGCATTCATCATAGTTAGAAGCTCCAGCTTCGTATCAAGATCACGGTCGATATCGTTGCTATCATCAAGATCGCCACTATCATCAATATCCTCACTATCATCCATATCGTCTCATTTGAGTGGTATAATATCACATCCACCACATCACAGCGGTATAATATTGTCTCATTTGAGTATATGCTTTGTTTTGGAGGAATCACGGATCTCCAGAATGTTATGATATTGTCTAATTCGAGCATAAGCTCTCATGCCTTTGGCTTATCCAAAAGGTCTCATTCATATAGATATGGTATTCCTATACTATAAACACATGATTATTCCCTCAATTGAAACTGGATTTTTTTTATTCTTTTTGGAGTCTTGGAACAGAGTACACTTTTTGACTATATCTTCTATACTTTGAGCATAAACTCTCTTGACGCTCTGATTTGGACTTCTTCAGAAGGGATAATATTCCTCGATTATAAATCTATAATTATTACCAAAATTAGGGACGTTAGACTTTGCGGTAGAATCTATAAAAGAATCTATAAATATGGGATGGATGAGGTGTGTTAAAAATGGTTCATGCTAATTGGTTCATTTGCTGATCGGGATCTCCGAATAAGGGACGGTAAAAAGGGATTTGTTTCTAAATTTGAAGGTGAAGGTGATTTTGGTGGTTGGGAATAAATAGACTTATCGCGTATTGCCCAAAATTGGATAAAAAGGATACAAATTTCAATTTATTGCATTATTCATTCTTTTCCTGTGGAAAGAAAAATAGAAAATGAAGTGTGACCAAATGCAGAATTTGGTTATGCACCGCCACAACAAGACATAGCTTCCATTTGTGTCAGTATTACGCGTAATTCTGGGTTTTGCATGCATGCATTTGCTTCTCAAGTTTCGTCAACATAACGCCTCTGCTACGCCCCATTTTCTTGTTTTTTCCCCGACATGTTTCAATCCCCTCTCCCCCTTATAAATAATCCCCCTCTTCTTCTTCTTCCTCTGCACATTCTCCTCTTTCACTTCAATTTGCCACAATGCTTTCACCCCTCTGCTCTGCCCTCCCTGCTCTCTCTATCCCCACCTCCAACTCCACTGCTGTTCCCCATGTCTCTGAATGGTTCGAGGAGCAACTCGAGGATGATCTCAAATGGTCCTTCGCAGTCAACAGGTCCATTCCTTTTTTTTTCTTTCTCCTGCCCATTACATGTTTGTTAAAATGTCTTCCCCTTCTTTCCTCATCTAATTCATCTCCTGTTTCCCGGAGTTGTTTCATTGTAGACTGCATGAACCAAATTCAACAAATTCTAACAAATTCTAACAAATTGTGACATTCCATTCCTTTAGGATACTTCATGCTGCAACCAGCAAGTTCCAAGATATAGTTCTGCTGGACACCAAGCGATTTGGGAAGGTTTGCATGATCCCACATCACTTTCAATTTCCTTTCCGACTACACTTTATTCATTTAATTCAAAGCTTTTCAGGCTCTGTTGCTTGATGGGAAGCTGCAAAGTGCTGAAAAAGATGAGTTCATTTATCATGAGTCCATGGTTCATCCTGCTCTGTTACTGCACCACAAGTATACACGCTGTGTTCATATTTGGTTTACTTCTTTTTAACTATTCTTATTGTGGGTACTGAAATTCTTTTGGTTTTGTGAATGATTTCAGCCCCAAAACAGTGTTTATACTGGGAGGTGGAGAAGGGTCTACTGCTAGAGAGACACTAAAGCACAAAAGTATTGAGAAAGTTGTGATGTGCGATATTGACAGGGTATGTCTCTTGAAATCCTAAGATACACTCAGTTTAGTTTATATATTTTCAAGTGGTAGAACATCAGTGAAGTGAAGTGTTGTAACGGTCAAGCCCACTACTAGTAGATATTGTGTTTTTTGGACTTTCCTTCTTGGGCTTCCTCCACACCCTTATGTGAGATATCACAATCTCCTACAGGGCCCAACGTCTTCGCTAGCACTCGTTTCTTTCTCCCATTGATGTGGGACTCCCACCAAATGCACCCCCTTCGGAGCCAGCATCCTTACTAACACACTGCCTTGTGTCTACCCCTTTAGGGAACAACCTCCTTGCTGGCACATTGCCTAGTGTTTGGCTTTGATATCATTTGTAATGGTCAAGCCTACCGCTAGGCTTTGATATCATTTGTAATGGTCAAGTCCACCGCTAACAAATATTGTCCTCTTTGGGTTTTCCCTTTCAGACTTCCCCTCAAGGTTTACGGAAAGGTTTCCAACCCTTATAAACTGTATTTTGTTTCCCAATGTGTGATATCACTCATATTAACCAATGTGTCATATTAACAAAGTGTAGTTCATATTGTAGGATGTTGTCAATTTCTGCCGCGCACATCTGAGCGAAAATCAAGATGCATTTCAGGATGAGAAGCTTCATATCATTTTTGATGATGCAAAGTGAGTAGTTTATATCTCAACTTTTACTTGAATGAATTCAATATTTCAAAAGGGTTAACCTGAAAACTTAAAAAGGGTGGGATTGGAGGGACAACCCGAGAAGTTCGACGTAATCATCAGCGATTTAGCCGATCCACATGAAGGAGGACCTTGCAATCATCTGTACACTAAATCATTCTACGAGGAAGGGATTAAGCCCAAGCTGAATGACAATGGTATCTTTGTTACTCAGGTACATTATATAACATATTCAAGCCCCTCTGCTATTGTTACTGAGATTTAACTTAAGGGTGTCCTAAAATGCAGGCTGGCCCTTCTGGTATTCTCTCCTACAATGTCTTCTCATCAATATACAACACCGTAAAGCATGTCTTCAAATGTAACACAACTTTCCCTTGATGCATTTGTAGAGCTAACCTTTTGTTTTGAAACAAGGCTTCTTAGATGAACAAGTTCATGTAGATCTAAACTTGAAGCTCTCTGTTTGGTCTAACATCTTTCATTTTATGTGCACAGATGTGATTGCATACACCGCTCATATTCCGTCCTATGCAGATTCGAGCGGATGGGTTCTAGTAAGCAACTAGAAAGAGTTCGAATGACTTTCTAAGTGCTTAGAAATATTTACTTTTTAAACCGTTGAAAAGTCTAAGAGATGTCACGTTATAATATGGTTTTATACAAAATTGTAATGATAGGCTAGTGATCATCCTTTTAAATTGGACATCGAAGATCTCGACAAGAGGATACGCGAGAGAGTTCGAGGCGAGCTACGCTACTTGGACGGTGCATTCATCGTGTCATCAACAGTCATAAACAAGACCATTCGTACAGCGTAAGTACAAAGATAGTTGACTTCCATCGTCTCGATTCGTTGAGCGGAAAAAAAAAGAAAAAATCATGTTTGACGATGTTGTGGTTGTGCGTGCAGGATGATGAATGAGACTCATGTGTTCACTGAGGAAGATGCGAGGTTCACTCATGGCCAAGGGCTGGCTAGCCATGCCTAGAAGCTGCAAGCTTTGAACTTCATTTCTCACAATTCATGGCTTATCTTGTCATCTTTACATTTAAAAATAAAACTTTATAAAATTTAATGGCGTAATCTTATGTAAGAAAATGACCGGATTGTGACTTGAATTTTCATTGAGAAAGCTTAAATGTGGAAATAAGTGAAAGTTGAAGGACCAGAACTTGCAATTATATAATTTTATTGTCCAAATTCTGCCGTTTTTACTGTTTTCATAGAAATTTCTACAAATTTACCATTTTATTTCAAATCTATCGGACAAGTTGGAGGGTATTTTGGTAATTTTGAACGTCGAGGAAAAAAAAAAAAAAAAAAAAAAGGAAAAAGAAACCGCCATCAGATCCCCACGCATATATAAACTGACGTCCCGCTAAATCTCGAAGAGTTTCGACCGAGGACGGGAGATTATCGTCTTCATTTGTTCGCCGTTGGTGTCAGACTCCGAATTTTCTTTGTAATTAAGCTCCATTTCCGTTTGCTTTGCTTCACCACGGCCATTTCATTCTCCCGGTTCTTTTCTTGAACTTCAATTCCACTCGCATTGCTTCTCAATCTTACTTTCTCTTCCATTTTCCTAGGGTTTTCATCAGTTTCTTTGTAATCGTTTACTTTATTTTCACGATTCATTCCCGAGCTCTCTTGCGGTCGCATCTGCATCATGCCGGTGCATCTCACGCCGAATGCAATCTCTGCAATTGTCGCTGGTGACGTTAATTCCAAGCCCCTAGTGCAGGTCCTAGATATCAAGCTGATCGGTAATACGCAGGAGAGGTACAGCCTCTTGATCTCCGATGCTGTTTCTACCGAGCAGGCTATGCTCGCAACTCAGCTCAATGATATTATTAAGACTGGACGAGTCAAGAAAGGATCAGTTATCCAGTTGATCGATTATGTTTGCAGTCCCATTAAGAGCCGCAAGTCCGTTCTCTCCCTCGTACTTCATTAATCATTTTTTTTCATCGTGATGGATTATTATAATTATATTTTGAAAAAATCTAGCCGTATGTGGTGTCATTATTCATTTTAATTGGCTTACTGGCCTTCTCGGACAACGTGATGCAAGTTTAGAAAACTAGGTGCGCATTTGAAGTTTTGAGATAAATCATTTAGTGATGCATAGTTGAAACGGAGAAATGGTTATTTTGCTCTGCGTTGAAATCTCTTATAGAAAACAGTTTGCATGCTTGTTTAAAATGATTGGTGTATGTATGAATTACCGTCTAAAGTTTATACTAGTGTATTAAATTTTAATCATGCATTAATTGTTCATTTAAATTATTAAGTGGCTTGGTGCCGATAGACTGCTGCTCTCTTCTGTTCTTGTTAAAATCTGTGTACATGAACACATCGTGGGAGAAAATTTTCTATTGTCTGTTTATATGCTTGTTTGAAATGTTCAATGCATGCATGAATTACTGTCTAAGGTTGATAGAGTTTATTAAATTTTAATTATAATCAATTGTCCATTTGAACTGTTAGGTCTGTGCACAAGTGGTTTAGCGTTGAAAGATTGTTCTCTCTTTTTGTTCCTGTTAAAATCTGTGTATATGAACACATCATGGTATAAAATATTCTTTCATCAGTTTACATACCTGTTTGAAGTTAGGTGGATGTTAGAATACTGTCTAAAATTGATACAGTTATTAAATTTTAATTGTTTATTAATTGTCCATTTGAATTGTTAGGTTTGTACAGAAGTTTTTTTTGGTGCCATTAGGTTGCTTGCTTTTTGCTCCTTTTGTTCTTGTTAAAATCTGTTTATATGAACACATCATGGGAAAAGAAGGTTTTATTGTCAGTTTATATATGCATATTTGAGATAATGAAACGTTCGGTGCATACATGATTTACTGTTTATGATTGATACAGTTTATTAAATATTAATCTTAATCGTTGATTAATTGTCCATTTGAATTATAAGTCTTACATAACTTGTTTCAGGTCTGTACACAAGTGTTTACTATCGATAGATTGTCATTATCTGCTTGTATTCTTATTAAAATCTGTGTATATGAACAAATCATGAAGAGAAAAAGGATCCTGTTGTTAGTTTACATGCTTGTCTGAATGTTTTGTGCATACATGAATTACTTTATATGGTCGATATGGTTCATTAAGCTTAAATCATGGATTGAATGTCCATTTGAGTTATTATATTTTTACACAAGTGGTTTAATGCGATTGATTGCTGTTTTCTCCTTTTGTCTCATTAAAATCTGTGTACATGAACACATCGTGGGAAAAATGTCTTATTGTCAGTTTATCTGCTTGTTTTGAAATGCTAGGTGCATGCATGAATTACTGTCCAAGGTTATTGACTTTTTATGACCGACTAATTGTCCATTTGAATTGTTTGGTTTGGGTCTCGTTCCAGTCTCTCATATTCTTGTTATAAGCTGAGTATGTGTACACGTCATGACATGAGAAAGAAGGAACTATTGTTAGCTCAGCTGTTCAAATAATGTTGCTCGTGATCATGTTAATTATGGTATCTTACTTCCCATTCTATGCAGACCGTAGCTTTGTAAACTAGATGACTTATAAATTCTTCACAGTAGGATGGATGTTGTAATTGAGCAGGGAAGTTTTTTCCCTTTCGAGTTAAATATACTTCTGACTTGAATTGCTGTAACTAGAGCCAATACTGATTTCTCTACTATCTTTCTATGCAGGGTTATTGTTGTGCTCAGCCTGGAAACTATTATATTGGACAGTGAGATAATTGGGAATCCAAAATCATCTGCTCAATCAGAGAATTTTGCACAAAAGGCAATGCCATCTGGAAATTTAGAGCAACCTGCCAAGGTTGGTAATCGTCTTGTGAGTGCCAGAAATCCAGTTAATAATGTGCAGAGCTTCCAAGCTACAGTTCAACCTCCGTATCAGCCACCTCCAAATTATAAAAATCATGGTGCAATCATTAAGAATGAGGCACCAGCCCGTGTAATTCCCATAGCTGCGTTGAATCCTTATCAGGGACGATGGGCTATAAAGGCAAGAGTTACTGCAAAGGGTGATCTCCGTCGCTATAATAATGCCAAAGGTGATGGAAAAGTTTTCTCTTTTGACCTCCTTGATTCTGATGGAGGAGAGATACGTGTGACCTGCTTCAATGCTGTTGTTGATCGTTTCTACGAGGTCATAGAAGTTGGTAAAGTTTACTTGATTTCTAAAGGTAGCCTAAAACCTGCGCGGAAGGATTTCAATCACCTAAACAATGAATGGGAGGTTTTCTTGGAGGCATCTTCCACTGTGGAACATTGTCCAGATGAAGATGATACCATACCAAGACAGCAGTTTTCTTTTAGACCTATCAGTGAAATTGAAAATGCTGAAACCAACTCTATTCTGGATGTTATTGGTATTGTAACATCCATCAATCCATCAATTCCTGTTTTGAGGAAAAATGGTATGGAAACTCAAAGAAGAGTTCTGAATTTGAAGGATGCGTCTGGCAGGAGTGTCGAGCTGACACTGTGGGGAGATTTTTGCAACAAAGAAGGTCAAAATCTGCAAGAAATAATTAACTCAGGCCTCTCGCCAGTTTTGGCTGTGAAGTCTGGGAAAGTAAGTGATTTCACTGGGAAATCCATTGGGACAATTTCTTCTACACAGCTTTTCGTAAATCCAGATCTTTCTGAGGCTCTCATCTTGAGAGACTGGTACGATGGTGGGGGGAAGAATACTACTTCTCTGTCTATTTCTAAAGAAATTATGTCAGGATCTGCCAAGAATGAGATTCGAAAGTCTGTATCTCAGATAAAAGATGAAGGACTTGGCAGATCTGATAAGCCAGATTGGATAACCGTGAAAGCAACAATATCGTTTATTAAAACAGATTCCTTCTGCTACACAGCATGTCCATTAATGATTGGAGATCGGCAATGCAACAAGAAGGTGACTAGATCAGGAAACTCGAAGTGGCTGTGTGACCGGTGCAATCAAGAATTTGAGGATTGCGATTACAGGTATCTTCTCCAAGCCCAAATCCAAGACCATACTGGATTGACATGGGTGACCGCCTTCCAGGAAACTGGTGAAGAGATTCTGGGTGTCTCAGCCAAGGAGTTGTACATTTTGAAGTATGAACAGCAGGATGATGTCAAGTTTGGTGAAATAATCAGAAGTAAAATTTTCGATCAATTTCTGTTTAGACTCAAAATCAAGGAGGAGATGTACGGGGATGAACAGAGAGTGAAAAATACTGTAGTTAAGGCAGATAGGGTAAACTATTCTTCAGAAAGCAAATATATGTTGGATTTGCTTTCAAAGAGGTAACAAATTATTTCTTGCCGACTAGGCGATATAATTCTGTCCAGAATTATTTTACTCTTGGAGGACGAACATATATTCTTTTTTTCAGACATTCGTAGAATAAATTGTATTCAGGGAAAGCGAAAGTGATGGTTTGAGCAAATAGGTACTTTACATTCAATATAATATCAGTTTCTGGTGATTTACGGCAGGAGCCGCATATTACACACAAAACACAGAAACAACCACTACAGACAATGGAACATCATGGGACGACGGCATTATGAAGAAAGGAAAATGAAAACACAATTGGTGGAATGTCATCCTCCTCAGCTCAGGTACGCTTGACCGGATCGAAATTGGAAACGCCGATAATCGCACCCAAGATAGCAGTGACGACTACTCCACCGGCGGCAATGCTGAGCAAGAAATTCTTTAGAGAGGGACTAACTCCAGGCCCAGCAGCTTCAGCCACCTCAGGAAGCACCATGGAGGCCGTCAGTGCAGTAGCAGCGAGTCCAGCAACTGCCTTCTCCTTCAAAGAAGCCCGCACTTGGAACTTGGCTCTGGAGTTTGATGAAGCGGTTGGCTTGTTGGAAGGCCTCAAAGGCAATGCCTTAGCGAAGGCGTCGGTGCTCCTTGCTCTCTTCTGGGTCGCATTAGTAATTGGCATAGCCATTGAAACTGCGGAAGTTGAAGCCATTGGGTTCTGTCTTGCCTCTTCTCAGTCAATCTTGATTGAAGCTTTTACTAAGCTCTCTCTCTCTCTCTCTCTCCTGACTTGATTTTAGGATATTGAGGGAAGATAGATAGAGGTGGTGGTGGAAGCTTGACCCAGTGAGCGGTCCAAATTTAAGGTGCCCTGTCCCACGTGGCAAGTTTTGGACTTGAAACTGAAGATAACATTATCTTGTTGGCCCAATGACCTTTCAGGATTTGTTTGGAGGATGTTGCTGCAATATCGAAATATTATTCGAACTATTGTTATATTTTCTCAATCATTGTGGTGGTATTATTTAGTTGGAAAATTTGGTATTCTTGGTTAATTAAGGATTCTGCACTACAATTTGACTGTTATACTTGCCCATTTAACACAGGGACTTGATGGTTGTCTAACTCTGGGGTAGCTGCTATTTTTATAGCCGTGTTGCTGGCTGTGGTACATTACAGACTTCGATGAATCCAACCGCAAAAGAGTTAAAGACGGCAATTGGTAACTACTACGGGTTGTTTAGATTGATTATAGATCGACCAAAAATGGGCAGTTGTAGTGTAATTTAGAAGCCATGTTGGTGGTAGTTTGGCTAAACATAATACGTTTCTATTTTTGTCTGTTTTTCAGCTTGGCACTCCGGTTTTGGGTATACATACACTCCAATTTTCATTCAATTAGACGGGTTAATCTACAATTTGGACCTGGACCAGTATTCTCTCAAGTGGACTTGGGCCCATTTACGCTTATGCCTCCAAGACATGAGGTCAGAATCTTACCGATTCAATTCTCATTCATTTGCCCACTAATTTTAGTATAAGAAGTGTAAAAATCGTGATAACCTCGTTAATTTTAATAAACTAAAAGTTTGCGCAAAAATAACTATTTCTGTGTTATTTTTTCTTCTTTGATTGATTAATAAATCTCTCAAATAAAATAGTTTCCAACTAATTTGCAAACCCATAGTACAAAATTCATTATTTTGAATTCTGAAAAGTGTTTCTTAAAGTCTTTTATATATTTATGTAGAAAACAAATTTAAGAAAATAATTATTTAGTATAAACATATTTTAAAATAGTTGAAGAAAACACATTAAAAAGCAACAGATCGATCCTGGTTTTTTTTTTTCTTAAATAAAAAAAAATTCTTGTTCTTTGTTTATTTTGAAATTGGTATATAGAAATGAAAGAAAAATGATTTATACCCCTAAATTTGACCTGTTGAATCAATTACAACTCTAAACTATTAATTGTATCAAGTTCAAGACTTTCATAATTGAACCAAACCTATTATGGAATTTTTTTTAAACGAGTAGGGATTTCCATCCAAATGAGTTTATTTTTTTAAAAAAATTCTTTTTTAGGGAAGACTTAAATGGCTTTACTATTAGAAACTTAAATGAGGTGACCAAAAATGCACCCTACGCCCAAGACAAAGGGTTTAAGTTTCCTGCCTGTCTACAGCTTTCCATTACTCATTACAGGCAATGGCATTGTCATATGAAATAGCTTGTTTTGTGCCAATTTTGCATACTACAATCTTCCTCATTTCTGAGAATCTTTCCATGTCGGTTGTTGAGAAACAAACACTCTTCAGTCTCCACTAACATTTGTCTTCCACAGATTTCACCCTCTGCTTCACTGTCCACTCCTAAACTACATATCAACCTTCAGTTCTTCTGTACCACAAGAATCTTCACGGTTTAGTTTTTGCAATCTTTGCCTGTTCCTCCAATTATTTTGACTCACTACCTGTCTCCCCAATTACCTCTTCTTTTCATTTCTTCTGCATCCTTGTCTCCTCTGCTGATCCTTCCAGTTTCTCTTTCTGCAGTGCCCAACATAAACCAGATTTGTTTGTTCAGATGGGAAGTTTTCCATACCTGAAATCATTGTGGATTCTATGATTATCAAAAGCAGGACAAAGCATTCTTGGTGGAATAGTAGCCTGTCTGCGAAGGCAACCAGTTGAATTTGAGTTTCCCCTGTTTTGTCATTTTCCCTTGTTTCAAACCTGTAAAGCCAATCAAACTCAAACAATTAACCAAAACACACACAAAAATCAGTAAACAGAAGGCTCCCCTAAAGAAGATCCAGACTTAGAAGCCAGTGCCACCATCTTCCTTTATGTTACTTTACTTCCATTACTTTCCTCCCTGACTTCTCTTTTGGCAGGAATTCGTCGGGGAAATGTTTGACCATAGCCATGATTTTGCAGCCCTTGCTTCAGAGACACTTCTGTAAGTTTTAAAATCAACAAGTTGGGCAGGTAATTTCAATCACCAAGCACACTCACTCACTGTGGTTAGAACCGGATAGACCCTCTCGAGTCTCAGCTCAACTTTAGCATTTTCTTTTGAACTATTTGTCTTACGCAGTTTCACTCATCCCACTCCAGAACTATTTGTCTAACGCAGTTTTTCATTCATCCCTCTCCTGCAACCCATTGATTCTATTGATCCAGTCCTTGTAGAAGAATCTAAATAGTGGTGTGACTCCTAAACTAATCTTCTGTAGTTCTCTTTAGTATAAATAAAAGTCCCGTTTCTGCCCATAAATAGACATCTCTATTGCTAACAATAACAGGTTCTCTACACTTCTGAATTAGAGAGGGAGGAAGCCCGCACATCTTAATCTCTTCCATTGATATTGACACATGAGGAATTAAAGTTTTACATCCACCATACTACAATACATAGAGGCAACGCCTCTTCAACCAAAATGTAAGACAGAGGGGAAAAAAGCTATTAAAAAATTAAAATCTAACATCCACATATTGTGAAAACTACACGCGACTTGGTTTCGCATGTATATGTATACCCCCAAACATCATAGGATGCCAACACTAACAGTACTGGAAAGATCTCTATAAGGGAGACTTCTTACTAGTATGGCAATGATCATAAATTTTGTAAAAGTACCACTTCTTTCGGACTTTTGAAAAGCGCACGTTGCCAGATTTTTTGCACTGATTCTCTTACAAGTATTGCTCGTGTATTCTGGCTCGATTTTCTTCCCACCACAATCTAGCATGCATCTCCCCAAATTTTTCCCGGCTGCAACATTCAAAGATGAGAGAACAAGGTCAACAGAGCAAAATTGACTTGAGAATAGTGGGTGGCATTATCAAGTATCAACTAATCTTTTGATAGAATTCTAGAAGAATGTTAACTTCAATTTTCATTATAGTTAGTCAACCTTGGAAATATATGAACTTGGTTAGTGTTAGGGGACAACAAGGTTCTCATTTGTAGTAATGGCAAGCTATAGAAAATTTCTGAAAGCTACGTACGTTTAATAAATTGAAATCAAGATGATGCAGAATGTTTAGTACCTGAATCTGACTCTTCTGAGTTCCCTTTTGCCGCCAGGCAAAGCTCTGATTGTAATATAAACCCCTGCCTCGTCTTGTTCGACCCATTCAGACTCAAGATCACTAGCGTTACTGATGGATAGTTCTCCTGAACGATCTGCATCCCTTGATGAACTGCTTCTCATGGATGCATCAATGGAAGATGTTTCTGTCTTTGCGCCACTGATGCTAGAGAGTTTAGGAGTGGAGGTGAGACCTGAATCTTGGTACTGCCGATACTGCATTGGCTGATATTCAAGTGAATCTGGGGATGAATAACTCACACCCGCTCCAATGGGACGGTGGAGATTGCGAGGCAAGCGTTCTGCAGTTAGTGGAGGTGTTACAGGGCTGTGTTCCACAGATTCTATTTTTGAGCTTTGCTGTTTCAGTGGAGAGGGGGGCCTCATCAATATGATATAACAAGAAACACAGTATACACAACACAAAAATTATATTGCACAATGAAAAATTGGGATAAATGGGCAGGATAGGGTCCAATCACAACTATCATTTTGGTATAATTTCAAAATGCTATCAGTCTTCCAAGCGTTGCCAATGAACTATAGGCTTACCTCGTCCTCGGATCTCGGTGGGGTTGGAAGAGGAAAGGCTTGCCGGTTGAACCTCTGAACATTGTATAGTTCCATAACTCTATCATAGTTTTCTGCCCACCATCTTTGAGCTTGCCATTTATTGAATACGTCTCGACTAATCAAGATCGTTACAAAAACAAAAACAACAATCAAACTCTACATATGGAACCTATAACACACAATATTGAAAGAAATTGCTATACATGTCACGGTCATAGAGATCAGATATCACACTACACATATGGAACTACAAATTTTGTCTTCCTCTCTTGTTCTCACTCATAATTAACAAGATATGGATTACCAAAGATAAAACATTTTCACAGCAATGGACCTAGCAAAGAATATTGTTCTCGTCACATACAATAACCTTTTAGTTTCACCCTAGTGCTGCTAATCATGAAAATTCTTAATAGGAGCCAATTTGGTCAAAAATTAAATATTATAAAAGAAAAAAGAAAAAAAGCAAGGAGAAACTTTAATGCTTTGAATAAAGTAGTTCCGGTGGTATCAAATATTGACTCTGTGCCCAAGGCCTATTAACCACTAGATCCAAACCCCTCGAACTTTTCTTTATTAGGCTAACAGACCGAGATATTATGATAGGATCTCGTCCCATTGGTGTCACGTAGTTTAGATAAAGTCAATCCAAAGGTGTACCAGCCCAGACCCACCACTAGCAGATATTGTCCTTTAGGCTTTCCCTTTCGGGCTTCTCCTCAAGTCTTTACAACGCGTACCACCTTACAAGGGGTCTTTCGTTCTCCTCCCCAACCAACGTGGAATATCACAAAAGGGTTATGGATGAGACCAACAGGCAGTGGAGACCAATAGGATAGAAGAGATATTTAAATTGGTGGAGATGAAGAATAACCTTGTTTGGTGTTCGATTTTGTTTGGGCTGTGGGTAAGCAGTATTTAACTCGATTAGCAGAAGACAAATCCAGGAGAATCAGGGTAGGCGTGAAGAATTCTTGAAAAGAAAGAGAAGAGGAAGAGAATTCCCCGACACGACGACAATTCTGGGAATAAAGTTTCCCCACCACAATCAAATTTGCCCCCACCCACCACTCCCACGTCACAATTGAGTTTTACTTTTGGACTTTTTCTTCATTGCTTTTCATGAGAAGGCGTGATCTTTACTGAGAAAAAATCAGACCCCACAATTCCAACGGAGATTACTCCAACCCTCTGTTTCAATCTTTCTTTCTTTTAAATATATTCTTCCTCGCCTCTTCCAACAAAAAATAAGCTCCGGTGACGCACACAGCCAAAGAAATTCCAGAAGGGCAAATAAACCATAAAAAAAATGAACTGAAAAGTAAGGGATATAAGATCCAAGCACGTCCCCAACTCCCAGTAAATGACCCACTAAGAGGGCCGCTTCTATTGCTAATTAAGAAGTCGAAAAAGATGGTGGGGAGGTGATTATGAAGCCCCACCGCACATCCTCATTCACATCCGCTATATCATTAAAGTCAAACCAAACCGCAAAGTAACTTATTAAAAAGAAACCAAAAAAATTTGTACCGTCGATGTTATTCTGTGTAGAGCGTACCTGAAACGTATCCGTTTCAGATCATTCCCTCCTCGAGGAAGTGAAACGAATGTGATTAACACACCGGGTTCCACCTGCGCCACCCACTCCTTTGGTTCGCTCTCCTCGACGTACACAACTGGGTCGACTCGGCGCCTACTCAGTGAATTGGGGGTTCCTTCTCCGCTTGAAATCCCCTTCAGCCTCGCTTCCATCTCCTTGCCCCATGTTCTCGTTTTCGTCGAGCTCAAGCTCCCGGATCGCTTGTAAGCCCACTTGAACCGCTCTGAGTCGGCATCTGACTGTGAGCTGCAGTTCTTGAGTCGACTCTGCGGTATCGGCCCTGCGCAAGGGTTGCAAGTTCGGTACGATCCGGAGGCTTTTAACGCCATGTCTTTGAGCTAAAAAGAATAAACCAACACGGAACATGAACATTAAATTCCCTCATTCCAGTCATGAGAACAAGAAATTGATAACTAGGAGAAAAGGAGTTTGATCTCGAAGTACCTGACCTGTCAGAGATTTGACAGATTGTTGCTTATTCCCAGGTCCATTGACGGAGTCCGATTCTTCAATTTGAGTCAAGGAGCCATCTCCGAGTTTCTTAGAACGAACTATGCATGTCAGCATTTTCACCTCTTACAGTACTTCTCCAGCAGCCCAATTTCAAGCAGCGAAGTGAACGTCAAATCGCTGCCCTCGCTTTCGGACGCTGATAAGCCAAATTTTGCTTAAAAACAAATTCTAAAAATGAACTTAAAAAATATAGAAGTTGATCAAGAACAAAGGGAAGAAGACTAAGACTAAGACTAACAAAGCGCAGATTCTCACTCTTGAATCCTTAGTTTCTCCTGAAAAATTAGGAATCGGTTGTTCTGGTACAGCTTTGACGCGATGAAAACAAGGCAGCCCCGCTGTTCACCCTCAGCCTGATTCAATCCAACCATAGACTAAGCTCCAGCGATTCCTGTAAAAAATGGAAATGAAAATGACAACCTCGCGATGTCTAATAGTTGAACGAAAATAGAGAAAAAGAAAGGTACAGAAACCGTGTGATCGGAGAGGAAATGGCGCATACTCCGGCGGGAAGTGAAAGGAAGCGCAAATGAGCGTCAAACAAATTGCTGGTTGCCGGGCAATTGCAATAATTATGGCATGTCTTCAATTTTCATTTCACCAACTGTGCGATTTCCCTTTCTCCTTACCTGCTACCGGCTACATACCGGTTGCTGTTGCTGTTGCGCGGTCTTTGTGTTTCAAGTTCCACGACCGAATCCAGACCTAAGCCCAGCCCATTTCTTCGTCTCATTTGGGCCTCGGATCCATTTCTTTTTATTTCCTCAAAAATTAAAAAACATTGTGGCTGCTGGGATTCGAGCCCAGGTCTCCACGGCCACAACGTGGAATTCTCACCACTAAACTACAGCCACTCTGTTGCAAGGAGTTGGAATCTATACATATATTATGTAATTTTAAAAAAAGCAACTAGGTTGAATCGAATAATATCTAGATTGAGAACAAAAGTAAATATTAAATTAATAGAAAGAGGATAAAATTGTTTAAGGGTTTAAGCTAATAAAATGTAGTGTAGAATAAATTCATGGTTGGTGCCCAATAATTGCTGCCTAACAAATTCTTAAAGCTATTGACATTTTTTTTTCTTTTAATTTCTCAGGTGGCGTTTTACAATAAAGGGTAGCAAAAGGGCATGAGCCTCGTGTCCAAATCCGTCATTTCAACATTAATTTAGGTGGAAGGGAAGAAAATGCTGTCCACTCATGAGTGCTAAAGATCATAGCCATTTGAAAACAGTTGGAGCTCAAAAAATAAAATAAAATAAAAAGTCATGTTGTACAACTCCCCTAATTAAGTCAATTTTAAAAAATTAAAAATCAATTTTTTGTTTTTTTTTTAATATTCATAAATTTATTAATTTTAATAAAATAAAGTTTTGCACAAATATATATTAATCACGATATTGTTGGATGAAAGTCGAGGATGAAAGACACTATGACCTATATAGGTCACCACCTCGTGTATTTATAGATATGTGTAATGAATATTACATTATAACAAACTATGAAATCATATATTTGAAATCATAGATTCTCTTTCATTTATGGTAACAAACAAGTAAATCAGTGTGAAATCATACATTTGGTAACAAACCAGTAAATCATATATTTATTTGATTTATGATAACAAACAAGTAAATCATTGTGAAATCATAGATTTGGTAACAAATCAGTAAATCTATTCTATAATTTAGAGAATGATCTTGAATTTATAATAAATGAATATTATCTCTGTTGGAATAAGACCCAAAGCAAAGTCATGAAAGTTGGGTGGTCAATATGAAAGCCAGGAAATCTATTAAAATTAATTTTTTTTTCAATTATTTATAATTAAACATTTTATAGAGCTAATTATAATTAGATTTTTAAAATGGTAATAAAATTATCATTACGGAACTAAGGTTAAGCACCATCGTGAATGGGTGTTTGGATAGGATTAATAAGCATTATTAAATTATTGTTATTATTATTATTATTATTATTTTGCAAAGCATTTTTTGTTTTTTTTTAATACCGTGACTTCAGCTAAAGAGTGCACCCTCTTTATTTTTTATTTTTTTTCTTATTTTCATTTTTTAATCCCTTCGTATTAAAAAAAACACAAATAAATAAAAAATAACAAAACCTATTTGAGTACGTGGAGATTCCCGGTTAGGGTTGTCCAAGTTGGATGAGGGTGTGATACCGACCACCGGAGCCGAAGGTCTCAAGTCTTCGCCTAATGCTTTAAGCCACAATTTCGGTAAACCGCTTTTAACGGTAACCGACGAACCTTGGGCATTGTCTGTCCACTTTACCAAATTACCCCTAATCTGCGGCCGCAGATTTATTTATTTTATTTCCTTTTTTGAAAATATTCAGCCACAAGGGTACCTGAAATCTGAATCTCCTCCACAGTTCCCAATATATATATTAACTAACATTCCCAATATACATATATTAAATTATAAAATCTAATTTCCCATATTAAAAGTTGGTGTGTATTTAATGTATAAACTTTCAAATTTGTTATAATATTTATTATTTTTTTTAAACTCGAAGTGGAAACCATAAGGTTCTATTAAATACTACATTTAATATATATGTTAGATCGATGAATTTTAAAATTCAAATGAATATGTATATTTAGTGGTTCAACCAAAGAATTATACGATTGTTCGTTTCTATTTTTTTAATAAAAATTTTGAAGTGAAAGTTATTTTAAAAATGTATAGTAAAATCTATTATCGATGGAGATAGTATTCTTCACTTATAAACCCATGATCATTCCCTAAATTAGCCAATGTGGGACTCACTCCCAACAATCTTCCCCTTGAACAAAGTACACTATAAGCCTCAAGGGCCTCCCTTAATCGAGACTCGGCTCCTTTCTCTAGAGCCTTCAAACAAAGTACACAATTTATTCGATATTCGAGCATTCGATGATTTTATGGTCATGACTAATGACTAACTTTAGGGCATGACTCTGATACCATGTTAGGAATCATAACTCTCCATAATGGTATGATATTGTTCAGTTTGAGCACAAGCTCTCATGGCTTTGCTTTGAACTTCCCCAAAAGACCTCGTACCAATGGAGATAGTATTCCTTAGTTATAAACTCACGATCATTCTCTAAATGAGCCAACGTCGGACTCACTCCCAAAAGAATGGCATAAAAAATAACGTGGACAGACAACAAATTTGTACAAATGATGTGGTTGAACCATTCAACAATTTTAGTATCGAAAAAACAATAAAACATGCTACTTGGCTTTATTTTAATTTTATAAAATAATTAAATAACAGAGATGTCAGTGGCATTTTCGAAATTAAAGAGATTCACCATGGTCAAAGTAGCAATCGTCTGTCCCTTTTTGCTCAACTTTTCCATCTCGGAAAAGGATGAAAAGAAGGGGCAGTTTCGAAATATATTGAAAACATGAGTGGCAAATATTGGGATGCCTCTCACGCGGGAGAGGAAGCGTGAGTGCCACGTGCGGAGGTCAGAAAGCAACGTGTAGAAGGGGCATGCAAGTAAGGGAAGAGTGAGGTAGAGAGGAAAGGAGTGCGCGTGGGCGTAGGTTACACAGTTAACGGCGGCTGGAAGAGCGAGAGTGAATAAGGCCAAAAGATAGGGTAAGGGCGTGTTTGGACGCGGGAGTGGGGCCAACGGAGAAAAAGACGTCAAATTGGAAAAAACCAGAAGGCGGAAGACCGACCGTATCGCGGTGGGTGTGAAGAGAGAAAAATCACTCACAGAGCCTACACACCCACACACCCACACACACCCCCTGCCTCTGTTTTTTTACAGAAGACCAAATTCCGTCGCTCTCTTCCTCTGTTGCGATTCTCACAGACGAAGGACACACAAATCTGTACGGTCGCAGAGCTTTAGTTTCTACCAAGTGGCTTTTGTGTGGGTTTTCTCGGCACAGGAGACATGTCCGACGACATCCCGACATCTTCCTTCTTTGTTGCTGCCTAGCTTCTCGCCAAACCCGCTTTGTCGGTCTCTCTTAATGCCATCGCTACTGTTTTCTTTCATCCCCTTCCCCATTTCTCCTCTTCTTAGTATCGCCTTTTCTTCCAATCCGTTATTGCTTCCGATGAACTGGATTCTCCATTTTTTTGTGTTTACAATCTTAGTTGCTCTCTGTTGTTTGCTGATTTTTGAATGCATGTGGAGTTTGAGATCACCGCGATGTTTGTTTTCTGATGCCTGCGCCAGGGCTGTTGTTGTTTGGTTTAAGCCTCAGTTCTTGTCCTTTTGCGGCCTTTTAGTTCTGGATTCTGCTCATATTAATGCATTTTCCATTTCTGTTGGGCTGTTCTTCCCATTCATAGCTTCATCTGAATTGGATTTGCTAATAATTACTAGTCTCCATTAGTTACCTCTGGGTTCGTTTCATTTCTTGGTGTTTCGTTCTTCTTTCAACAAGTAATTTTCATTGTCAGATATTTATAAATATGCTTATGCTGTCTTGCGTTTGGATACTCAATCGATTAAGACTTGTTGTGCTTACTTGTTTCAACTACTGGCTATGTTATGCTTATTTGTGTAATGATGTGATGCTTGATCAGCCATGAAGAATGAATTAAATAGATGAGAACAATGTGTACACTGCTTGAATATCTTGTTTGGCCTTGATTTGTGGTCACAGAGTTGTTGATGAACATGATGGCCATTCCACTCAAGAACTTTTCCCAGAAAAATCTTGATCAGGACTCTGTGCATTCAGTATTTCCATTTTCAGTTGATTGTACACCGTGGCGGAGCTCGAACGAACGGAAGATCCCATTGCCTTTGTCTGATAATACAACTCTTAAACTTGAAACTCCTCCACAGCATCATCACAAGCATTTGGGCTTTCAGTTACCAGATCAGGAGTCATCTACAGCCCATTCAATTGGTGAATCTCTGCATAAAGTGTGTACTATGGAGGTGCAAAATGCTCAAGAGCAATGCATTTCTTCTGAATCTGGTACTTGCATGCTTAGATTCCTCTGTTTATTTGTTGTTCATTATACATTTGTTTGATTAGTAGTAGTGTGGCTCAGCTCAACACTGATAACAACACTCAACTTTATCTATGTTGATTGCCCTGACCCCTTGGCACCCTTAGAATCTCAGTTAAAGAGCTGGTAGATGAACTGCCGAAGGGCTAATGTAACGACCCAAGCCCACCGCTAGCGGATATTGTCCTCTTTGGGCTTTCCCTTTCGAGCTTCCCCTTATTCTTAAAACGCGTTTGCTAGGGAGAGGTTTTCACACCCTTATAAAGAATGTTTCGTTCTCCTCCCCAACCGATGTGGGATCTCATAATCCATCCCCTTCGGGGCCCAGCGTCCTCGCTGGTACTCGTTCCCTTCTTCAATCGATGTGGGACCCTCCCAATCCATCTTCCTTCGGGGCCTAGTGTCCTTGCTAGCACACCACCTCGGGTCCACCCCTTTCGGGCCTCAGCCTCCTTGCTGGCACATTGCCTGGTGTCTGGCTTTGATACCAACTTTAATGGCCCAAGCCCACCGTAGCCAATATTGTCCTCTTTGGGCTTTCCCTTTCAAGCTTCTCCTGAAGGTTTTTAAAACGCGTCTGCTAGGGAAAGGTTTTCACACCCTTATAAAAAAATGCTTCGTTTTCCTCCTCAACCGACGTGGGATCTCACAGCTAATTCAAACTATTTGTACTCCTCAAATTTGTTCTATTCTATTTCTACTACTGCTGAAGGATATTAAAATTATGAAGGATATTTTCTGCCGTAAAAATTGTTCTGCCTACTAATTTCTCGTTATCTTTTATGTTTTCGACGTTTTGTCCAACCTGAAGTTATTCTTCGTGCTTCAGGTCAAGAGGAAAATTGTGGTGAGAGTGTGGAGAATCAGATGAAACCAATTATTTTGTTTAGCAACCCTGAATTTATGTTCAATTCTCCCCAAGTTGATGGCAGCCAGCCAATGGTAGGTTGAATTTTGTTGTTTGATTTCCGTTTCTTATTCGTTGCTAGGCTAATCTCTGTCTCTCTCGATTTTAGACTCGAGTATCATACCCGTACGTTGATCCTTACTATGGCGGGCTATTGTGCAGTGCCTACAGTCAGCAGGCTATTAATGTAAGTTTCGTACATCGATCCTTTGAACTTTTTACATTGCAAGTTGATTAATACACTGGAGCTGTCTGCATTTTATCTTCTCTTATGTGGTTCTTGATTGATGTCAATGATTTGATTCTCATAAGAATCAGGCTCAAGTAAATACCAATGTTGTTGGGATCGCACCTGCACGAGTCCCCATTCCGCACGCTCTTGCTGAAGATGGGCCCATCTATGTCAATGCCAAACAATACCATGGAATTCTTAGAAGGAGGCAGTCTCGTGCAAAGCTCGAGGCTCAAAACAGAGTCATAAGAAACCGAAAGGTATCCCTCGTGAATTTGATTCCTTTTTTCTGTGGATTTTGGACAGTTCTCATCAATAATCAATTGGAATGGAATCCTTAAACAGTTAAATATTTTTCGATGAGAAGAACTCGAACTCGGGAGCTTGAGCAAGCTTTAAGAAAATGCTGTAGTGTATTTGTTTGTGAAGTTTATATGAATGATCTGATCCTTCCTTTCAATTCTCTACTAGACAATAATATTGATTTCACTTATGCAGCCGTATCTCCACGAGTCTCGACATCTTCATGCGCTGAACAGAGTGAGGGGATCTGGTGGACGCTTTCTCAGCTCGAAAAAGAATCAATCACCTGTTCAATCAACTCCTTCGACCACCTTGAGCCAACAGATGAATACACCAGACTTCAGTACATGTATCTCTGAAACGAGCGACCGTGGTGTGAGCTCTGAGATCACCACAAGCATCTCTAATGGTTCAGTGAGGTTCGGGCGGTCGGACAGTCAGCTCTCTGCTCTCTCTTCCAGGATGGGTGGAAGAATGGAGCAGTATAGCGGAGACTTAATGCGTGGCGGAAGATAATAGAACCGTGTTATTAAACTAGACGACAGGCAAATCATCCTTGGCTTTGTTAGTTATTTATGCTTTGTGATTTCAGTTCGGAATGAGCAGAAACAAACCGACAGTAATGTACTATTGAAAACGTTGGCATGAGGGCCTTCAATAATTTGCTTGTGTTTAAAACAAACCATATTTTAGAAGCAGGTGACAATGGTTTTGGGCTTACGTGGATTTGTTTGTAATGACAATATGGCAAGGGTATTTTTGTAATCTCGACAGTGTTTTGCCTTGTTTGGAATTTCATATTCTGCGTTAATTGGCTGACACGTGTACGGAAGTACTTGATATTACCCTTTATTTACAGCCGTTTTGACTTGGCGGCATTTCTCGCCATAGAACCAAATTTTAAAAATTGATTTATAAATCCGCCAGCCAATCAGCATTTGCCACGTCTGTGGATTTGAAGCAAGAACAAATCTCAGCTCGCGCTAATGCATGGTGTATCTTTGCCGCCGGTGTTTAGAAAAAGCTAAAATGAATTATTAATTGTTTATTCGATTTAATTTAATTTTAATTTTAATTTTTTTTGTTCCCTCTCCTTTGAGAGAGAGAGAGAGAGAGAGAGAGAGGCGCCCAATCTTCAAAACCGCAACTGTAAGAACTCTCTCCTGCTACTGGATTTTCTTGGGCGTTCGGTTTTGATTTGTTGGTGCCTTTCTTCTCCATTGATAATCGACCATTGCAGAAGTGCCTTTCTTGTTCTTCTGATGCTTTTCACTCTCCGTTTCTTCTTTCTTCCGTTTTCGATTTCCATAACCATTTCTCGCTGTTTGTTTCTTCTTTTCTGAATTCAGCGGACTTGGATTCCAGAAAACATGGATGGGGGAGTAGCTTACAATCCTCGGACTGTGGAAGAGGTTTTCAGGGACTTTAAGGGCCGTCGTGCTGGAATGATTAGAGCTCTCACCACCGGTCTTGTTCAATCTCACTTTTCCTTCTCCTCCTCATCTATTTCTGTCTTTTTGTTTTCAATTTTTAGGGTTCTTCTACCAGGCTTTCATGGCCCTTTACATTTCTAGTTAATTACTCTTCTCTCTTGCCATCTTTTTGCAGATGTCGTGGAATTTTATCAGCTTTGCGACCCTGGTCTGAGCTCCATTCTTTGTATTCTTTCTATTTTACATAACTTGTGGGTTTTCGTTTACTTGCAATTGCGGTTTGATAGTCAACACTGTACTTTATGTGTGTTAATTAATATTCTTTTGAAATCTTCTCTGTGGGGTATTCTCTTGATTCGTGAATTTTTGGTAATGAAAAAACACGGTTACTTATTACTACTGATAGTGAGAGCCCCTAATTTGGTGAGATTTCAAAGAGCCACCTGCTTCACACACACACACACACACACACACACACATTGTAGCTGGAATCTGTGTTTTACCAGCTTTTTCATTAGTTATTTTCTTGGCAACATATTTAAAGACGTTGTGAAATGTGAATGATACTTTAATTTTGTTTGTAATCTCCAACTGTAGTTTCCAAGCTGGAATGTAGCAAGTTATTGTTATTGTTATTGGGACTACAGTAGCTATGAAGTTGGTGACATAAATACGTGCTTAGCTATGAATTTTCTTCGTACTTTCTGTTCTTGGCCACTCGTAGAATAAATGCAGTAAACATTGGGAACCCAATTACTTTTTTTAATAGCACTCATGTAGCTATTTCTGCTTTTATGGACATCAGTGAACATTTCAACTATTTACACAGCTGTTTCAAATTTCAGAGAAGGAAAACCTCTGCCTATATGGACTCCCTAATGAACAGTGGGAAGTTAATTTGCCTGCGGAAGAAGTACCTCCAGAGGTTCCGGAACCAGCATTGGGCATTAACTTTGCTAGAGATGGGATGCAAAAAAAGGATTGGCTATCCCTTGTTGCCGTTCATAGTGACGCATGGCTTCTTGCTGTGGCTTTCTATTTTGGTTCTAGATTTGGCTGTGATAAATCTGACAGGTACTTTCTGAACTAAATTTCCTGGCTGTCGCTGCCGCTGCCGCTGCGGCACCACAGTTGCTTGTTACTACGTGTATGGCTTCGGTTTTGAAAATACAAAAGTTGTCTCTGATATTTAAAAAGGAAAAGGAAAACAAATTATTAGTTGTGCAGAGCGGTACTCTGATGTCTGGCATATCTCTTTATTAATTATGCATCTGCCCGGTCTTTGAAGACTTCACAATATGGAGACTGACTGGTGGGCCATTAATCTTTATGTGTATAAGTGTTGCATTTTAACTGATAAATTTGGGTTAAATTGGTAAGATTATGAAGGCTTAAGTAAATCCTGTGTTTCTCTTACAAAAAGATCAAAGAAAAGTAGGCTTGGGAAAAAAGACTCAAATTCATGCATTTTGTTTCTCGAAGTGTGATAATTTTCTCTTGTTCATATCATTATTTGCTAATTTTGTAGAATTGATTCATGATTCAGGAAACGCCTCTTTACCATGATAAATGATCTGCCCACTATATTTGAGGTTGTGACGGGAAGTGTGAAGAAACAGGGAAAAGACAAGTCATTGGTTTCAAATAACAGCAGCAGCAAATCCAGGACTGGCCCAAAGGGGGTAAAAAGAATTTTCTGTATCTTATTTCATTTTCATTCGTGAACAATGACATATGTCTCAATTGAGTTGATTGATGAAGAATTTTGGACCTTAGTGCTCGCAATCAGATAGTTTGGTACCCTATGCAATTGTTCTCACTTCAAGAACAGTAAACAGAATATAAGAGAAATTTACAAAGGAAAAAGAAAAGTTGAGAAAGTATCTGGACTTGCTTCTAAATCGCTATGCAGTAAATATTAGTTTCAGAAGCAAGGCATTGATGTGCACATTATTTATTTGGAAAACTAAGTCTTTGAATTTCAATGCATTACTCCTGATGGATTTATCTACAGCTCTATATGTCCAGTCGGTTTTCGTTCTATATATGATCTTTTGACTGTATAACATTTGTTTAACTAATTTTTTTAACAAAATTACCATTATTAACAGAGAGATTCTGAATCAAGCAAGTTGTCTAATGGGTTGGCAAAAGATGAAGACGACGGACTGAATGAGGAAGCTGAGGAGGAGCACGGGGAGACCTTATGTGGGGCATGCGGAGAGAATTATGCATCGGACGAGTTTTGGATATGTTGTGACATATGTGAGAAGTGGTTCCATGGCAAGTGTGTGAAGATCACTCCTGCAAGGGCCGAACATATCAAGCAATACAAATGCCCCTCGTGCAGCAATAAGAGGGCACGGCCCTGATAATGATGGGTACCTCGTTAATTTTATTCATGTTGGATTAAGCTAACTTGTAGTCAGTCCAATATTAATCCATGTCCCCCAGGGTATGTACTAATTGCGTTGGCTGGAATCTTATTTATTCGGATAACTTACAGGCTATTAAATGTATTTTATGTAATTCCCAACTGAGATACACAGATTGTTCTATATGTGCGAACCTGTCGGCTATGGAATCTGAAACACTATAATTTATCTTGTTTAATTGTTTCTGATCTGCTTCTTATCCTGGGCTTCAGAACATAAATTTCGTTCTCACTTCCAAGGTATGTTAACTCTACTCTGGTTTTCTGCTGGTCGCTGGCTGAAAGAAGGTAGATCATTTCCTTCTTCCACCCTTAAACTCTAATATGCAAATTGTGAAGAATTGAGCGTTTTTGGACGAGGATTTAAAGATGCTTTCTGGTAATCTGACTAAGCACAGGTGAAAAAGGCACTGTTGGATGCTGTGGATTTTAATCTTGCCCTGCGCAAAGATGTTTGAGATTCTGGTTTGTTAGTCTTCGGTAATCATATCTGCAGTAGATGGAGCTGGCGTGCTATGTATTCATGGCGGAAGTATGAGAACTGAGAATGGCAAACGCTAATTCCTCGGTGGTTGATGCAACATCACGTGAAACCAGGTCCAGAACAATGCACAACCAAACCCTTGTTTTGGTTATGTAAGTTCACAACTCTCGGAAATGAAGTTTCCTCTGATGTTGAATTCTAGTTAAGGTTGTAAAACACAATAGTTTTTCATCTTTACCGATGACGGGAATGCAATTCAAATCTAAACAAGCCTTTTTTATTTATTGTGGTATATACATTTACTTCCTAACCAATCACTCTTACAGAGTTTGCCCTGTTATAGTTTACCCCCAAGGTAGTGATTCAAGCAACTTGGCATTTGATAGATGGGGGAACTGGTAGCTGAGAAGCACGTTAAAAACACCATGTCTGTTGAAAAGGTGTGTTTTTCATTCATATATCTCCCTCTCTTTATGATCTATTGCTTTATTTACTTGGTTTTATCATTCATTTATAGATGGTAGTAGAACGCTATCTATTTATTCTATATTCCCATCTTTAAGCCGTTTTTTGTACAACGAAATGATTTCAATCTGTGATTATGGAGCATCTTAAAACGAATGGTGCATACTAAGGTTATTTCCTGGGCCTTGAAATGTTTGAGGTTCTTACCATTCTTTCGGACGGTTTGAAATGATTTTTTTGGTGCTTAAAAAAGTGGGTCGAATTTCGAGAAATAAATGTTTTTAAGTACTTAAAAAGTCTTCCAAACAAGTTCTTAGTATCTCAACTCATGTGTTTCTTTTGTTTACGTTGATTCTAACATGACTGTATAGATTTTAAGCTTTGAGATTGATGATTATTTACTTGGATTCTTTTGGAATAGATGTACATACTCAATGTTATGTTATTAATGAACTTTTCAAATAGGCCCTCCTCACCGTTTCAAGTTTCTGTTTATTCGAGGTAATTAAGAGTCAAGTGGACTTAAATTTCCTAATCAGCAAAGAACTGATGCCTGATATTTGCGGGTGATCTTTCTGGCGAACATTGGACATGATCCACATTAATTGGTTAGTCTTCCGACTCTAAATGTGGGGTGAAAATGGTTGAAATATGGTTCACGCAATTATGATAAATTTTTTATTAAAAAGAAAATGAGAATTCAATGTTTTAAAACTTGAATATTTAATTAATGATATTTGAGAGACAGCTTTAAAATATTTTATTCATTTCATTTTGATGATGGGGTAACATTGTTGTTTAACAATTGTAGGTGTCATTTGCTAGCATAAGCATAACTCATAAAGGGCTCATAAAACATTTATTTTTCAAGTTGTAGATTAACCGTTGAATTTTTTTTTTTTTTCAAAATTGCTTTAAAAAAGTTAAATTTAGATCCAATTCCTTGTCGCTTTATTCTAAAAAAGTGAATTTAAAGGATGATGAGGAATTAAGAATATTTAAAAAAGAGGGATGTAGAAACATGATAAAAACCTGAGTTTTTAAATTGGATGGAGTTGGTATGAGAATCAAGTGGAAAAAATATATTCTTGGGTCAAAATAATTAAAAACATAAAATATTTATTTGGTGAAGAAAAAAAAAAAAAAAATCATCCGCCTTTGCTGTAATTGCATGTAATATGAAGGGTGAAAAGACAAATTACTTCTTCTATATGTAAATTGTAATGAATAGGGCGTTGATTTTGCATGTGCTTTTTTGGATTTCCTTTATGAGGTCTCACACACGTGCTTTTTGTTTTTGTTTTTTCTTCTTTTCATTTCCAAGTTCGGCTTAGGAATTTTTATTTTGCAGAATGTACTAAATCGAGACTGAAAATGATAGGACTTAGAAATATTTTTAAGTTTGAAAGCCAAATGAAATATTCTTTTTTTTATTGAAGCAATTGATATAGAACCTTACGTATTAGGAATTATTGTATGATATTATTCACTTTGAGTATTAGTTTTTATGCTTTTAATTTTTTTAAAATATTTCATACTAATAGAGATTATTACTTATAAATCTATGATCCCCTCCTTAATTAACCAATGTGTGACTCCCTCCCAAAAATTTTCAATACTAAGAATATAGAAAGAATGAAGAACGACGACATTGATGTTGATAGAAGAACCGATAAGCAATTACAACCTTTCAGACCTAAAATTCAGGTACGCTTCTTCCTGTATTCAGTTGATAGGGTTTAGAGTCCTTTAAGGTTAGTCCATATAATAGTTTTTCGGGTCCCAACTTTATGAGCCTTAAATCTAACTAAGTTGCCTAACCCACCGATTATAACGTTGAAATCAATACTATTTTTATCGATACAAAGATTTTTTTTTAGTGGGATTGGAAGAGGCATGGAAGGAAGTCTTTGAAGGGCACAAAGCTTGTACCAGCTCTCTTTCTCCTCTTCTATCTCCCACCTTGATGCCCTCATGCTTGACCATCCTCTTGTTCATCAGGTCATGGGTATGCAAGCTTCAGGTAGAATTTGCCGTGCATATCACCCTTTTGCTGCTTCAAACCTTCCTTCTTGTTATAGACCATCCAGATCATCGTTAGAGATACTTATAATACAAGAGATGTCTCCACGATGAAATAGATAAATTTCTTCTTGTTCCTACTAATAGAACCTAATGCCTAGGTAGAGATATATTTGGATGATGTTTCGTATATATGGTAGATGTTTGATAAAGATTTGATATAGGCATATTTGTTAGATTATACCAAATAGGTTTTAATATTTGGAAACTATACTTAGTAAATTGAAACCATATAAATATCCGTGCTCACCAATGTACTTTTTTTCTATTCTATCTTCTTACCATACCTGAAAACCTTTAGCCTACCTTCCTCATTGGATTTTCTCTCTCCTGTTCTTTGGGTTCTAGATCGTGGGTTGTTAAGCGATCCTAACAATTGATATCGATCCTAATACCTTCTTGATTTAAAAGAAAATGATGTTTTGGACTGAATTTGAAAAGAAAACAAAAAATAAGATAGAGATCGAGATTATTGAGTTTTTTTCTTTTTTTTTTTAATGTTTTTTGTAGTCCAATTTTATTTTTGTAGCAAAATTTGAGCTATAACGGTAATTTAATTAGTGAGATTGGTTAAATTGAGTGAAATAATTGGTTGAATTAAATGCTCCAGCTACAAATTCCAAATACAATTAGAATATTTATTTTAGGTTTTAGGTTGATAAATAATTATTTTTAAAATTGAATATATGCCACCTGTAAATCGTGACACAAATGAAGGTAAGGATGAGTTTGAGGCTTGAGGCGTATAATAAAATGCGCCCTTCCTCTCTTCTTTCGACACCACAATTTTGTATCTCTTCCGGCTGCCGCCGTCTCAACCTCTCCCCTCAAAATGGCCTCCTCCCTCTTCTCTTTCAATACCTCTCTCTCTCCCAAACCCTCTTCTCTCTTCCGACGCCCCCTTCGCCGGAATTCTTCCCCCCCTTTCACCATCGCCTGCCCTTCCGCCACCTCCGACTCTGCCGCCTCCCCTGTTCTCGACTCTTCCTTGCCGCTCGGACTTCAGAATCCCCAGTTCGCTTCTGTCGATATCCAAGATGACTCTCATCGCAGTCGTTCCGTTGCTGCCGACGGCGGCCGTAATTTCTCTGCCAAGTATGTGCCGTTTGGTTCTGGCTTTGATTCATCCGAATGGTACTCGCTCGACGAAATCGTTTATCGGAGCCAATCCGGCGGGCTGCTCGACGTTCAGCACAACATGGAAGCGTTGAAGGAGTTCGATGGAGCGTATTGGCGGAATCTGTTCGATTCGCGTGTAGGGAAGACGACCTGGCCGTACGGTTCCGGCGTGTGGAGCAAGAAAGAGTGGGTGCTGCCGGAGATTGACTCCAGCGACATCGTTAGCGCCTTCGAAGGAAATTCGAATCTCTTCTGGGCGGAGCGTTTTGGGAAGGAGTTTCTAGGCATGAACGATCTGTGGGTCAAACATTGCGGGATTAGCCACACCGGCAGTTTTAAAGACCTTGGAATGACTGTTTTGGTCAGCCAAGTCAACCGCCTCCGGAAAATGAATCGCCCGGTCGTCGGTGTCGGCTGCGCCTCCACTGGAGACACCTCCGCCGCTCTCTCTGCTTATTGCGCCGCCGCAGGAATTCCGTCCATTGTCTTCCTCCCGGCCGATAAGATTTCCATGGCACAATTAGTTCAGCCGATTGCAAACGGCGCTTTCGTCTTAAGCATGGACACCGATTTCGACGGCTGTATGAAATTAATCAGGGAAATCACGGCGGAGCTTCCGATTTATCTGGCGAATTCTCTCAACAGCTTGAGACTGGAAGGGCAAAAGACGGCGGCCATTGAAATCCTTCAACAGTTCGATTGGGAAGTGCCAGATTGGGTAATCATACCAGGGGGAAACCTAGGGAATATATATGCGTTTTACAAAGGGTTCCAAATGTGCAAAGAATTAGGTCTTGTGGACAAGATTCCGCGGCTGGTTTGTGCTCAAGCGGCAAATGCAAATCCGCTTTACTTATATTACAAATCTGGCTGGAAAGAGTTCTCGCCATTGAAGGCTAGCACCACTTTCGCTTCTGCAATACAGATTGGGGATCCGGTTTCCATTGACAGAGCCGTGTTTGCTTTGAAAAATTCCGGCGGAATCGTGGAAGAAGCGACGGAGGAGGAACTAATGGACGCAACAGCTCAGGCTGATTCGACGGGAATGTTCATTTGCCCTCACACAGGAGTGGCGTTAACGGCTCTGATTAAGCTGAGAAACAGGGGCGTGATCAAAGGCAGTGATCGGACGGTGGTAGTAAGCACTGCTCATGGTCTGAAATTCACTCAATCCAAGATCGATTACCACTCGAGAGCAATCCAGGGCATGGAGTGCCGATTTGCAAACCCGCCGGTGGAAGTGAAGGCGGATTTTGGGGCTGTAATGGATGTTCTTAAGGAGCATCTGTCGAGGAAGAATCCAAAAATGGAGCTATAGGCGAATGTTTCTGCCATTAAACTAATCTGCAGTGGAGCTTCGTGTCCAAGGTATCGAATACTCTGTTTTTTCAGCTTTATAGTTGTTGTTGGATGTTTGGGCTGAATTTGTGCTGTTTCTCCAAAGTTTTGTGCATACTATTTGTTTTGTTTTGTTTTGTTTGATTGTTCATCTCTTTGTTACGGTTTGATCGGAATTGGATTTGACATTTGGATGGCAGTGGCCGTTTCCGATCCAAAAGAATTAAATAGATTAGACTCAATATGCTTCTGTGGCATGCTTTGACTATGGATAACTAGGAGCGACTAAAACTTTTTAGTTTTTAATTTATTTTTATTATTTTCAAACGTTTTATACTGTATGTAATATATAAAGCAATTGAGTTGAGTGGGTAAAGAAAAAAATAAAAAGAAAAATCTCTCTGTCTACTTGTTCCTTTGACTTCTGAGATGTATGTGAATAAACTTATGGTCCACATACATTAGGTGAAAAGCTATATATGGATTGTTACGCAAGTTATCACATAAAATAAAAATAAATTTAAAAGAAAACTTCAAACCCCACCGTAAATTAAAAATATAGTATTAAATTTCGGTTGGGACGAACTCATTCAAAATTTCTTTGTACATGTTTGAGAGTGTAATAGTCTAAGCCCATTAGTCGATATTGTCATCTTTGGGCCCAGAGTAGAGTAGAGCCGTTTGTCCCATGTGTCATCATAGATTATGAGATCCCATATCGGTTGGAGGGGGGAACGAAACATTCCTTGTAAGGGAGTGGAAACCTCTTCTAGCAGACCAGCTTTAAAACTATGAGCGAGAGACCGAAAGAAAATCCAAAAAGAAAATCCAATGGATTTGGGCTAATTACAAAGAGATTTTTTAAAACTTGATCTTTTCAACTCATGTTTGTGATTAGCATGTTTAGCATGTTTGTGATTAGGGTGTGGATTGTAAGATTTGATATGCATGACAACAAGTTTTTCATGATTTCAGTCTCAGTGAGAATGTTTGTTGGAATAGATGATAGATTATTTAGTGATTTGTTGTAATAAAAAAAAAAAAAAAAAGGTGGATATCATAAGTTTCTAATGACTGCAGCAATTGGATTGGATGGTTCCTTGTAGTCAATAAAAGAGCCCATTGGATCATGGAAAAATATGAAGAGTAGCATTAGCTCATACACCCCAACATTGTTGCAAAAACAAATTAAAATCTCCATGACTCTTGCAATCAATCAATCAATCAATGTTGTTCTTGTGGGCCTTCATGAATTACGGGTCCACTTTTGATTTGGGATTCCATTCATTTTAATCATACTTAAAACTAGGAAGCTAAGAACTGAGAAGAGGAGGGGATAAGTATGGAGAAGCTGAGTGAGAGAAGCTTTGGGTCCCTATGTTATGTTGTTGGGGGTCACTGTTTTACTTGTTTGTCTCTATCTTTATACAAGTATATTTTGGTGTTTTTAACCTATAATATATATTTTTTTAAAATGACCCTAAGTGCTTTTACTTTTACGATAAGATCGATTATGAATATGAAAAAATAATAAATAAAAAATCAAAAGTAAAGATTCATATAATCTTGTTTGAAATCTTTTTGAGATTCAAATTATTCCACAAGTAAAATCAATTAAATCCAATTTGAATGACTCTAAACTATATAGAATTATAAAGAAATTTAATTATTGGCTAAAAGAAAATATAAATACTCTTTTTACAAGTTTACTATACAAATACAAACATATATAGTATTATATAGCCTTAAAATGAAACATTTGACCTTACAATAATTGGGTGCAGGTAAATATAAAAGTAAATAAAAAATCTTAAAATATATTAATGAAATACCACACCTCTAAATCATCCACCCAAATTTTGATCCAAAAATAGATTAAGCTTGATTCTCTTGTAGTGTGGCCAGAAATTGCCTCCTGAATTAATATTGGATTAATTAATATTAGGTTAATCGGTGCGATTGAGATATCTTTTCCATTTTATGATTAGGATGTATTGATTTATATGAATATGAATATGAGTTATGAGGTAGGGTCAAAAAGATGATTATCCCTTATCTAAGATTCTGTTCTTGTGGTGGGTGTGTGGCTGTGAACCAAAAAGACCCTCCAAAGCTGCCATCATTCAACCCATGGCATCTTCACAGAGACCAAGATGAGAAATGTATGCAACTTTTTTAATTTTTTTTTTAAAAGGGCTTAATTTAATTCTTCAAAAGAAAAATGAAATCACGGAACAGGAAGTTCTGAGCAAAAAAGCAGAGCAACAAAAGGAGGTTTGTGTTGGTGGGAGAACCCCAGTGGAGTACCTGCACACTACCTTACCTTACTACTTCTTCACAATGTTTCCCCAACAGACAGAGAGATTCAAGAAAGGAAAAACCCAAAAGAAGACAAATATATGCTTAATTTTGCTTTAGAATTGGAAACATAGAATCTGGGAAATTATCGTTGTAAGCAAAGAATGAAGAAAAGGGGAGAGGGGAGGGTAGTAATATATATATCTGGGCTACGGCGGAGGGCGGTTGCGCTTGTGGCCAGGCTTGGCGGCGGAGTTTCCTTCGGAGGAGGCCTCCATGGATTTGGTGAAGGAAGCAGAGAGATGGGCGTACAAATCCACAACCCTTCTGATGTTGTTGTTAAGCTCGCGAATCAAGCCCACGTTTCTGGCGAGGTTGTCGGGCATTTTGGACTCGTGATTTTGGTTAATTTCATTGATCAGCAATCTGTTTTGATCCAAAATGTTCTGAACTTGAACGAAATTCTTCTGAAATGTCTGAGCCATTTTCCCATCCATCTGCCTTCCATTCCCCATTCCTCCTGATGACAATGTCTCCCCCTCCATTAACCCAACACACCGTTCTTCTCAATATCACTTCCTATCCTGCTTCAAATATCAAATGCAAGCTTTTAGATTTAATTTCATTTAACATATGTTTTTAAAGGACTGAAACACAATCACATCTTCTTATCGGTACATACAAGCTTTCACTAACAGGCAAAATGAAGAAGAAGAAAAAGATTTTTTTCATTTTAAGGACAAGGCTTTTCTGCACATGAGACAAGAACTGTAGCAGAAATCATCACCTCCATCTCCATGGATGATGAGAGGAGAGGACAAACAAGAGAAATTATTAATGTAAAAAATGGCTTTTATTATTGTTTGATAATGAGATGTAGATAGAAAAAGCAGATCCCATTGTTCCGATTTCCATAAAAAGGAACTCTTTTAATATACTGAGAGCATACCCACGTACAGCTCAGAGCTCCAAGGAAGAATCTCTTCATACACTCAAAAACCAGTCCAATGAAGCACAGACACCATTATTGATCTAATCTAATATTCTATATTTCTAATAAAGATATCCGAAATTTGTGATACAAAGACAAACTACTTAAAACAATAAAAGCAGGCAACCCAACCCATTTAAGCAAAATCTGTATAGGTTCAAATTTGGACAAACCAAAAGAAATCTAGGAACAATCTGAAATTGTTTTCAGAATAGTAAAGGGAGTAAGAGGGGAACAAAATTTAATGACTGCAGCTACCTAGGGACAGCAAAATAAATAAATAAATAAATAAAATGAAAACCAAAAACACAGAAACTCACAACTTTTCTTTTCTTTTCTTTTCTTTTCTTTTCTTTTTAGTTCTGTAAGAAAGAATAAGACCCCAGGAAGCCATCGGCAAAAAGAGAAGCTCCCAGTGGAATTGAAATGAAGGGAAGGTCGGCTGGGGGAAAAGTGGTCTTGTTTTCTCGGATTATTTATGCAATTATTATAAATTTTGAAGTAGGTCTCAAAATAAAATAAAAGAAAGTGAAGAAGGAAGGAAGAAATAAAAGAGAGATTAGAAAATGGGTAAAAATAAAGTTGGAAATACCTTCAAAATCTGAAACATTATATTTTGAGGAAGAGAAAGAGTGAGTCTGAATCCCGAGGAGCAGTGGAAAAAGATGGCCGATTGAATCGAATCTCCGGAACAGACAGACACCTCTTCTGTAATTTCTGAGAAATCTAGAGAAAGAGAGAGATGGACAAATAAATAAAAATAAAAGACAGAGAATATATATAGATTTTATTGAAACTTTATAACCAAAAATCCCACCAGTTATTTCGCATTTATTATTTCCATTTCTGCTACTGCTTCTTGTTCATCAAATTAGGAGGGGATTGCTTCTGTGTTTTTTGTTTTTTCTTTTTTTATTCAGATCCCAATCTTGACTTTCCCAAATTCCAAATTCCAAATTCCCACAATATTTCCTCCAAGGACTTTCACGTCACTCCCCCCACTCCCTAATTTAATGCATTTGTTTGTAATATCTTCTTTTGCAAAGGGGAAATTTAAAAGTGGTTTGGCTTTCTTTAATTGTCGTATCCAGTGAACCAACGCAGATGGGATACATTTTACCTTTTTCCTACTGTCAAACATTTAATTATTTCTTTCTTTGTTTCATTATTATTAGAATATATTATGAATTGTGTCTCGAAACTCCAATTTCGAGGTCCTTTCTGGGTTCCCATCAGTAATTTCACGCTATTTATTTTAGGCTTTCAACATGAGAGAGATTTCGCAATATTGGCAGGAGGTGTACACTAATAAAGATCCTCCAAAAGAGGAGTTAGCAAATGACAAGTAATTTTGGTGCTGACCAATTTGTGGAGCCAAGCAACCCAAAGGAATTTCACCATTGAAACGCAATTCAATTCATAAATAGTAAAAAGACAATTCTAAGATTCTTAATCACTATGTTAAGACAACAATAAAGGCAACCTTTTTAGTTCAATTTCTAAATAGTTGATTCCTAGTTGCGTTTCTACCGTGTGTCCATTTAGAATCTGATTCCACAGCAGAAAGTTAAGGTATTCTCTTATTTGTTTCTAAGACAAAAGACAATACTCACATACCACTACGTATCGCTCTCTAGGAAGATTCATACAAAACACCCAATAAAAAATTGCTTCAACCCAAATATGTCAACAATAAAGTTTACCGAAAAAAAAAAAAAATTGTTAGCATGGTTAGTAACTATCCGTAAAAAAAAAAAATGTTAAATTATGAATTAAAAAATATCTCAATCTACCTAAAATTAGGAAGAAATCTAAACCTTAATATTATTGACTAACAAGAATACATAAATAAATAAATAAATATTATATATTGCATAATAAATATGGAAGTGACTTGTAATTCGATAATGAATTAGTTGGGACAAGCTAAAGAGAGAATTTTGAGGAAAATATTGACAATTATTCATTTATAATTTAAGCCTTTTTAAGGCTGAAAGTCGACTTCAATCAAATATATATATATATATATATATATAATTTGGGTTTAAGAAAGTTGGGAAGTGAAGGAATTGATAATTATTGGAGAAGAATGAGGAGATTTAGGAAAAAGGGGAAATGGGATTGGAGAGTGGGATTGGGTTGTTTTCAGTGACTTTGGGGATACGATATAAACAAACAAAGGGCTTTCGCTTTCTGTGGGTGTGCTCTTCATTTTTATTTTTGGGATTTCATCTTTAGTATGGCCGTTCGTAGGTCCTACTTATTGAAATCTTAGCAATTTTGAATCAATAATGCCGTTTGAGAACCATGTCCTTTTCTTTTCTGTTCTATAAAACAAAAATCATATAATTCTTAATAATTAGTTTTGGTTTTCAAATTTTTTTTAAAAATTAGAGAAGTGAAGAGATGTTTTAGAGAGAAAGATGTGTGAAAACATGGAATTTTTTTTTTAGAGAGATAGACTCAAATGTTTATAGATAGAAGTTAAACATGGTAAACTTAGAAACAAGAAAAAAAAAAAAAACCCCAAATTTTGAAACAATGGATGTATAACCTTTTGCTTGCTTCAACATCTAGTAAAAATACATAGTACCTTCACGACGCATCTTCTCTTCCTCCCTTGTACACGCATTCACACTTCTTTCCTCCCTCTCTCACGTCCCTAGACCCTAAAGAGATGGAGGATAAGTGGCCACTTGCTAGCCAAAAAACATGAAAAACGAAAGGGGGTGACAATTAATAGAAAAAACGTGAACGGGTAGGATTTTGCAGGGCTAGTTCAAGATAAAGAGGGTGAAAGAGAGAGAAAGAGTTCAAGAGAAAAAGAGCGAGAATTTTTCTTGAATTTTGTGTACGTGTGCCCAACGAGCGCAAGGAAAAAGGAAGAAGCACGAGCACGAAGGGAGAAAGAAGCACAAGAGACAAGAGAGGGAGTTGTTGAGGATTGTTGGAAGAGAAGTCCCACATCGACTAATTAAGGGGTTGATCATATGTTTATAAGTAAGGAATATATCTCCATTCAAATGAAGCCTTTTGGAGAAATCAAAAGAATAACCATAAGAGCTTATGCACAAAGTGGACAATATCATACCATTATGGAGGGTATGTGATTCCTAACATGGTATCAGAGTCATGCCCTTAACTTAGTCATGTCATTAGAATCCTAAAATGTCGAACAAAGAAGTTGTGAGTCTCGAAGGTGTAGTCAAAAGTAACTTAAGTGTCGAACAAAGAGTGTATTTTATTCAAGGGCTCTAAAGGAGTAGAGTCTCGATTAAAGGGAGGCTATTCGAACGATTCATAGGCCTCAGGGGAGGTTCTATGATGTACTTTGTTCAAGGAGAGGAGGATTGTTGAGGATTTTTGGGAGAGGAGTCTTACATCGGCTAATTAAGGGGTTGATCATAGGTTTATAAGTAAGAAATATATTTTCATTGGTACGATACCTTTTGGAGAAACCAAAAGTAAAACCATGAGAACTTATGTTCAAAATAGATAATATCATCTCATTACGGAGTGTCCTTGATTCCTAACCGGAGAGAGCGAAGGTATTATGATATTACCTTGCTAGCAAAATGTTATAAATCCTTATTTTCAAAATTCAGGTGGTATTCCATTTGGTCCCAAATTTTGGTTCTTTCATAAATAAATAAAAAAAATAAAATAAAATAAAAACTCAAAATCACTTGGAGAAAATTAGATAAAGATGTGTTAGAGAGCATATTTATTGGGCTTCATAAGAAAATCAATTACAGAACAAAGAAATAAAAGTTTTAAGTGATAGGGAAACAGATCAATTTTAGAGAGAAAATGGTTAAATAAAATATAAACTTAGAGAAAGACAGTACAGTTAAGAATTGACAATACATTAAAGAAATAAAAATAAATGTGAAAAATAAAGAAAAGTTGTAGTGAAAGTAAATTTAGAGAGAGGAAATTTAAGAAAACTACTTCTCTTGAAACAAAAAAAAACTCAAAAAATATTTTTTAAAAGCATAAAACAAAAAAACAGATCTATTTACCAAATCACTCTATTTTTTTTTTTATGAACAACAAAAACAAAAACAGTAAATAGAAAATGAAGTAAACGGACCTTTAAAATTAAGTCCACTATTTATTACTATTTTGTTTCTTATTTTCCATTTTTATTTAAACTTATAGTAGCTACTTCAAAATTAATTTTTTAAAAACTAAATGGTAGTTCTTCTTCTTCTTATTTTTTTAATATACATTTTTAAAAATTAATTAATTAATTAATTATTTTTTTTTTTATCCTCTTCCGATTAAAGAATAAAATCAGGGGTGGAAAAACACATGAAGGATAATATTGCAGGAGATAAAGAAAGAAAGAAAGAAAGAAAGAAAGATGATTCTCACCTTTGGGTATAATGCAGGGGAGAAACTTGAAGTGGCCATCCATCGTCAGAAAGAGCCTGCTTCCACCCAGAATCATAATCACATCCAAACGAGGAAGTCTCATTCCCAGAAGCTTTACAGGTTCCTCTTCCATAGTGTACTTCACTTCTAAGCGCACATTTTCAGCCATTATTCAACCCTATCAAAACAAGAACTAACACTTTTACTAATCAACTTCTAAAAAATAAAAAAATAAATAAAAAAAAGCGGAAAATCTGAAGTAACCCAACAAAGAACAGAAATGAAAATCAAAGAAACAGAAAGGAAAGAACCCAACCCAAATGGGCAAGAGAAGAGGAGACAAAGGTTATTGAAATCATTGGCCTTTATAGATTGAAAGATGAGCAGCAGAGCAAGAACAGCAGTGGAAGCCATAGCCCTCCAACGATCACATATCAGAGAAATGGCCATGTTCCTTTTTTCTTTTTTCCGGTTCCATTAGTTGTGGTTTTTCTCCGATATAATCATATCGGAGTTCAAAAGAGAATAAAATCCAACATTCATTAAAAATTTTGGCTCATTTTCCTCTTAATTAACCAACTTGAACTAATCCGGAGGGAAATAGAAAAGATATAACTTTTCAATTATTTTTTAAGTTTAAAATGGCATGTCATCCCTTACAATAATAAAAAAGTACTTCATATTGAAAAAATTGTTTTTCATAGCTCTGTGTTTTCATCAAAAAAAGATGTTGTAATCAATTAATGAAAGTACTCATACTACATTGAAAAAAATTTCTATGGGTACTACACATTAATTAAATGCCATTCCATCATCTTTTTTAAAATCAAGTGGAGTTCACTGTTATCCAAAAAAGAATTATAAAGTCAAAAGTGTAGTATGAACAACGTGATTATCATACCTAGAAAGTTTTTATTGATTAAAAATAAGAATCCTGCATTGATTGATTATTATTTGTTTTATTAAACAAAAGAAAAAAGAGAGAGAGAGAGAGAAAAAACATCACCTAATTTGTTTAGTGTCCAAGATGCAAGAGGAAAGGAAGTTTTATGCCTCTGCAGGAATCCTTTTGAATGCACATACTCTATTCTCTTAATCTTCAAGAGGAAAAGGAAAACCTATGAGACAAGAAACTACAACTCAAGCATGAAAGAGCTCTCAAAACATTTAATAATAGCAGAGACTGACATGGACATGGAATATGGTAAACCACTAGAAGTGATGCTTACTCTTCCACATTCGATTACCCAACATTATGCATCAGTTAACCTTGTCATCTGTCACTTGCATCAAAAAACATTACCTTCATGTACAAACAAAATATTGTACATATTCAAAATAAATAGAAGTTTTCACACGACTAAACCTAAGAAGTGAAATGGTAACCATTTTCACCGTTAAATATCTTTTAATAGGAGGACTACTTCGTGATTGAAGAAGATTTGAGAGCTAACAATGGTCAGAAATTTAGTTCATATGATCATAAACAAAAAAACTTGTCGGACCAAGGCCATAAGGAATATGTGGTTCTAATGGATTTTTTTCTTTAAGAAAATTCAGGGTACCAAGATGTACCATGATTTCCTCATGAAAAAGTTTCCTGTCGGAAGCTATCAGAGATGAAGCTGGGAGAAAAAGCTCCGCTGAACAGAAGCCATCCATATTAGGAATCATGAACTTCCATATAATGGTATGATATTGTCCATTTTGAGCCTAAGCTCTCATGACATTACTTTTAGTTTTCCCCAAAGGTCTCATAGCAATGAAGATGTATTTCTTACTCTTTAATTAGCCGATATGGGACTCCTCTTCCAACAATCCTCCCCTCAAAGTATACCATAGAGCCTCTCATAAGGCCTATGGAACCCTCAAATTGCCTCCTCTTAATTGAGGTTCGACTCTTTCTCTGGAGCCCTCGAACAAATTACACCGTTTGTTCAACACTTGAGTCACTTTTGACTACACCTTCGAAGCACATAATTTCTTTGTTCGATATTTGAGGATTTTATTGACATGACTAAGTTAAGGGCATGATTCTGATACCATGTTAGAAATCACGAACCTCCACTATGGTATAATATTGTCCACTTTGAGCATAAGCTCTCATGGCTTTACCTTTGATTTTCCCAAAAAATCTCATACCAATGGAGATATATTCATTACTTATAAATCCATGATCAACTCCTTAATTAGCCGAGATGGAACTCCTCTTCCAACAATCCTCAACATAAATCCCAAATAAGACCCTTCATCCGTGATTAGTCACTAACAACATTCTATCATTAAATAAGGCCTTTGCCTTTTAACGGTTTACCACAAAGGAGAAAATAGATAGTGTTCTTCAATGAGCAGAGCAGTCATCATAATATCAACATGCCAGAGAGAATTAAGGTCGAATCGCATTTATAGTAACTGAAATATTCCAATTTTGGTAACTGCATTCCATAAGAAAATTATTATTGTTCTAATACGATTTGGCCCCAAAGAGTTAATGTGTTGGTTAGCTTTCAAAATTATGGGGGATACTTGTAGAAATATCACTTGAATGTACTCATACGACTAAAACTAAAAGTTAAAAACAGTACATCATTCTCAATGTTGAATTATTAAACGAGGATTTTAATACGATCTAAAATGATTAGAGAGCTAAATGTGAGGAAAATTTGTATTAATTCATTAACATCTTCACTAAACAGGTCAAGCACAAAACAGACTACAGACATAACAAGCGATAAACATCGAGAGATGACGGACCAGTGAGAACAGCAATACAAGAAAAATAAGATGCGGCAAGGTAAACCAGTTATAATAATTGGTGGCTGCATCAGGCTATCTTTTTTGTTAATCCAAATTCGACTATGTAAACCTCATAATGCAACAAAGTTCAGAATGCTAAACACAACCAAGAAAGAAAAAAGCTGGCAAGAAAATCTTGAAGTAATTGATTAACACTGAAAACAAATATTTTATTATATATTTTCTAAGGGAAAAAAAGCTCATCACCGGATTTTCTTTATGGCCAAGATGCGAAGAAAGTGAAGAAATCCTGTTGAATGCACTTACTCAAGTCTTCTGATCTTCAAGAGAAAAAGGGAAACAATTGAGACAAGAAACAACAAGTCAGCCATGGAAGAGGTCTAGAAACATTTAATATGATATACCACCGTAACTAATGCTTAGACATTGGAACATGATCTATCCAAATCCTTCAGCCCCCGTCTATGTTAACACCTTGAGAAGAAACAAAGTACAAAAGTTACAAACAAAGTGCGTAACTGAACCAGAAACTTGCCATAGAAATTTTCGGTTTCCACCAACCGAATGCAGTGCACTGCATCCTAGAGAGACTTGTTCAAGATGAGCACGCCAACAAAAAATAGGGCCAAGCTAAAACTATCTCGACAAGCATCCCACCAATTGAGTTGAAAGACACTAATGAAACTAAATAAAATCATTTCAATGACAGAAATTTTCTCAAATATTTTGATTTGTGTGCAACAATAAATATGGTATATATCTATATGAAAGGAGCCATTAGCGTTATACAACAAACCACTAAGAAGAAGTTCTCAACACTAAGAAAAAACTTTATATTGATACATTTGTTTATCTTTTCGAGAAAAAAGAAAAATCATCCCCTAATTTTGCTTTATGTCCATGATGCATGAGGAAAGTATCAGGTTATCAGTTCTTGCGGCCTTCAAGATAACAGTGAAACTGAATGAGAAGAAACTACTAATCACGAAATGTCTATCTTGCTCACTCTGTTAGAAGATATATTCAGCAGAGTTATCGACTATGTCTACAAGATATGTTTTACCCATGTCCAGGCATTGGATGTAATTGCGAACAAAATTTGGTCCATGAGCAACGATGAAATAACATTCGCATGAATACAACAGCCAGAAATTAAGTCCACTATTTGCATGAGGCCTAAAGGATGAGCAAGTTCATTTATCATGCCAAATACTACATATAGTCAAATATCTAGATTGTAAGAAAATATCTTGGTGCTGATCAAACCCAAGAATTACACGGAGATTTTATCACTCGGGGGAAAACGTAAGTTTAATACAAAACGTAAAAGCAGTAGTCTAAGATGAAAAAGATGGATTCAGGCGAACCTTCAACCACAGAACGATCGCCTCCAAAAAGTCGATAGCGATCATCATCATTTGGGCCTCAATTGGGCTTACTGTTAACTATATTACATCGGCCATCAAGTATAGTTCATACTCTAGTGATCTTCAACAGAAAATAGACAGAATATATATCATACACAAACATGACAGCAATAGACCAGGAAGACTATTAGAGAATGGACGTCGGAAACTCACTCGAGCATTCTGAAGACGGCTTGAGGAAGAGACTCTGGATGGGAGAAGACGCGGGAGACTCAACCGAGAGCACAGATCTTCACTCGACGAACCGACTCTGCTTAGAACTTAGAAGAAGACGCCGGAAGGAAATTTGCGACCTCCTTGTCGAAGATTGTAGCACAACTAAACTGTAGATCCAAATGTAACAAGAACTTCATAAAACATCAAAACCCAGCTAAAATCGCATTGTTTATCAGACATAGTGGTAAGTTTCATGGCTTCAGTTCGCCAAAATAAGAGCATTTCGTGGTTTTCTCTAGCACTATTTGTGTATTGAAGAGTGTGTAAATTGAAGTCGCACGAACAAAAGCAAACTTATTGTAACAAATCTATTTTATTTCAATTTCTAAAATTCATAAATTTATACGTATTAGGGCGTAAACAGTTCAATTTTTTTTGGCCTAGGAGTAATATTTGGAATATTGTATTGACATTTTAGGGGCCTTGGAAGAGTGTCCGTGCGTTACTTTAAAAGTAACGGACAGGATTAGCGGGTGATTGATTTTAGAAGCAGAGAATCGGAAACCCTAGCACGTCCCCGTCGCCCAAATTCTCTGATACTCATTTCACTTTTGGGGATAAAATGCTATCACTTGCACTCCGTACGATCTCCATGCTTCCTTCCAGTTCTAGGCATCTCCGCCTCCGCCCAAACCATCGCCCCTCCTTCAGGCCCTTCTCCGTCAACATGTCTACACACACTACGCCAATCGAACACGTCGTCCTCTTCAAGGTTAAAGATGGCGTCGATTCCTCTAAGGTAAACGACATGCTCACTGGCCTCAATTCCTTAACCTCCCTCGAACAAGTCCTCCATCTCACCGCCGCCCCCGTCCTCCGCAACTGCTCCTCCGCCTCCAACTTCACTCACCTCCTTCATAGCCGCTACCCTTCCAAGGAGGATCTCTCCAGCTACTCCGCCCACTCCGCCCACGTGGATGTTGTCAAGCAATTTGTTCTTCCTATCTGCGATGACATCATGGCCGTCGATTGGGTCGCCGATGCTTTGCAAGGCCCCGTTGCCGCACCTCCTGGCTCTGCCCTTAGAATCACCTTCCTCAAACTCAAGGAGAATCTGGCGGAGGAAGTTAAGAACGAGATCTTGGAGGTCATCGCAGGTCTGAGGGAGAAATTGGGGCCCAATGTCCAGTTGACAGTGGGCGAGAACTTTTCCCCGGGCAGAGCCAAGGGGTATTCGATCGCTTCGATTGCCATTTTCCCGGGGCCGAAGGAGTTGGAAGCGGCGTCTTCAGACCCAGAAATGGTTGAATTGCATAAAGAGAAGGTCAGGGAGCATTTGGAGAGTGTGATTGTGGTGGATTACGTGGTTCCGCCAGCGCAAACCGCGAGTCTCTAATCCCATCTATGATTGTCGCTACAAATTTTTGATGAACGATGTTGTGTTGAAATTGAATAAAAGCGTCCACCGTGATGTATGAAATTGTAGCATTCCGATGTTTTTGAGTTTCTGCTCTAGTTTGTTACTCGCCGCCTTGGCGTCCATTTTAACATTTTCAAGCGCATACTATTTCAGTCAAATTTATCCTCCATTATTCGAATAAGAGAAACAAGTTTAAACATCATAAGAGTTCTGATCTCAAGCTGCAAAAAGAAAGAAGGAAGCAATTTATATACTAGTTTCTGGCTGATTGAACTGCTTGCACAGTAGCGATTAGCTGGGCCATCACATTGGCATACTGAACCGCTGTGTGTTGAGAAGTATAGTAATCCGACAGTCCATATTCTGCAAAGTTGGGTTCTATGTGCATGAAACGACCAGGTAGGGAGCTTTTTGACATGGCTTCTTGCCATACCTCGAAAAACTCCTCCATCACCTGTTTTGATTTCTCCATTGAAGAAATTGGCAGATACTCAATCTGCAATATACAGGTTTAAACATAGGAATAGTGAACGGTCTCAAGTGTTCAAAATGTTTCATTGGAAGAGCAACAAACAGCAGCCAAAAAGTATAACATGTGTGCACATTTGACATACAGATTCTACTTGAATATGAGTCAGTCCTGCTTTCCAAATTCAACAGTACTTCCAATATGATGTTCATCGTAATAGATTCGAAACAAATTACAGAATTGAATCGAGATTTGCTAGAGAAGTGTCAAGGTTCCAACTTCAGCATGAAAGCAAGCCATCTCAGAGAAGTTTCAAATAAAGAACATGGCAAAATGTTTTTGAGACGAGAGAAATTGGCATCTTTCTTTGCTTTATTTGTTTCAGGATGAGCACCACACTAGGGAATTGAGCCCAAGCAAAGGCTACATATTATAATCAAGCATCCAGGTGAACTGGAAGACACTTTCTAAACTTAATAAACTCTTTGGGAGGAATTTACCCAGAAAGCGTGAAGATCACAATAACGAACTTCCATAACTATGCCTACGTAGGCTTTTGCAAAGATATCCTAATCAGATCTTACTACTTCTCGACATAAGATCCTTCACTACAGAGCCTACTGATTAGTTATTTGATGCCTTTTCCTTCTACTTCATTGTTCTCGAGTTGAGTTGAGAACAATGTTGAGGATTGTTGGGGGAGGAGTCCCACATCGACTAATTAAGGAGTTGATCATGGGTTTATAAGGAACTACATTTCCATTGGTACGAGACATTTTGGAGAAACCAAAAGCAAAGTCATGAGAGCTTATGCTCAAAGTGGACAATATCATACCATTGTAGAGAATTGTGGTTCCTAACATGGTATCAGAGTCACGCCCTTGTCAATAGAATCCTCAAATGTCGAATAAAGAAGTTGTGAGTCTCGAAGATATAGTCAAAAGTTACTCAAGTGTCAAACAAAGGGTGAAATTTATTCGAGGGCTCCAGAGAAGGAGTCGAGCCTCAATTAAGGGAAGGTTGTTTGAGGGCTCTATAGACCTTAGAGGAGGCTCTATGATGTACTTTGCTGGAGGGGAGGATTATTGGGATAGAAATCCCGCGTCAGCTAATTAAGGAGTGGTTGGTTTATAAGGAAATACATCTCCATTGGTATGAGGCCTTTTGGAGAAATTAAAGGCAAAGCGATGAGAGCTTACGCTCAAAGTGGACAATACCATACCATTCTGAAAAGTCGTGGAAACAAACCACAGAGGCCAAACAGCTCATAGGAAAAGAAACTGCTCGCTCAGATACAAAAACAAGGCATAAAAAAAAAAAACCCAACAAGAAGAACGTGCAATAACACATGAGCAGAGTTGACATGAAAAGATGAAATGAGGCTTACCTCCATGACAATTCCTCTCAAATTCTCGGAATTGTTGGGAACAACTTTTCCAACTCTTAGTTGGAAATCCCCTAATTGGTACTGGAACCCCTACAAAACCAACAAGGCAAACTGTATGTAACCAAAGATTTATCCATCTCACACGACTATAAACAAAAGGGCAGAAGAACAGAGACGAGAAAGCTACAAAAATCAATTTCAAATTTGAATTTCTGGACATGGGGAAATGAAGAATGCATCAGAACTAGAAAAGCCTGGGTGGGTCAACCTCGAAATTGAGAGCAACGCGCAATTTGTAAGACTGCAGCTTCTCCATTATAGCCTGAATCGTAAAATCAGCTTCTAACACGATCCGTTGGCCACGAATTATGAGATAGTACTTGTTTGGTTGCTCCGGCACAGAAATTCCAAGAAAGTCGCGCGGGAACTCGCCCGCTGCTATGTTCGTATCTGTTGTTGACAGATTTAAGATTCATTTAGGTAATCAAATCCCGAAAAACGTCTCTACAAAAAGAATGCGATCACCTCTTAAGATGGGTTTGTAGAATGTAAGAGTAGCTTTCCACTTGCCCCCTTTAACGCCATGGATACTCTCAACACACTGCGAAACCTCGTTGAGTATCTGACTGTTAACAGTGCTGCCGGCATTCGGTTGCCAATGCAAAACCCTAATCAAAGAACAACGAAGAAAGGAGATCAAGAAACAAATCCACAAGAAATAACGAGCACTTTTTTGATGGGGGTTTCCGGGGTTTTACCATTTTAGCGGCATACTTCCAGTCGTACAAAGCCGCAGCAAAACAACGGAGATGAGGCGGTTCGGAGCAGATTAGGCACAATTTGCAACTTTCACGGAAAGCCCAATTGAAAGAATAAATACCCCTGCCAGCCCAAACTTGAGTCCTTGCCCGTTGCCATGCCCTTCGGGGATCCATACAATTCTACTGGATCTCAAAAAGAACAATAAACAAATAAATAAAAACATTTGTTCCCTGTTTAATGGACAGTGGAGGTGACAACGGTGGAACCTCTCTTCCAATATCTGAAGGGCCACCACTTTGACCATATGCTTTTACACCATTGCTTAGTCCAGTCTTTTCTTGTTAAATACCTTCAGAATTGAGGTCTTTAAACCATATAGAGCTTCAAATAGTGGTTCTAAAAAATGGCAATCAAATCAATGTGGTTAAAGGTAGCTTTTTTTCTTCCAAGTTTTCACAAATAAGAGAAATAGAGACAATCCTCTATTTCCCTTCTTGTTCTACTCCCACGACAAGCTACCAATTTGGCTCCATTTTAGCATGAAACTACAAGTAAACTGAAAAGGGTCACAAGCAAAATGAATCAAAACAGTTGCCTTGAGAGAAAGGAAGAGAAGAAAAGGTACATATTTGTCTAAGAGGAGTTGTTTGTGTGGGGCTGCATAGAGAGTGAGACAGGCGTAGGGTGCCCAGTTTCCATATCCTGCAGTTACATACTAATTGATTTGGAAGCTTTCCAACACTCTCAAAAAGGACCTTTGTCCTGTTTCTTTTTATACCGATACAAGTCCACCAGATATTGTTCTTTTCGGATCTTCCCACTCAAGGTTTAACCTTCAGAGTTACACAATGAAATCACCGAACCGATGATCTAGACAGTGTGCTCTTTAAACTTTCCCTAAATCAAATTAAGATTAAGAGCCTATTTGGTACGCCTTTCTAAATGCTGAAAAAGTAGAAGAGAAAGGGGTGAGAGAGAGAGAGAAAGCAGGAATCAAGGTGGTCCGTTGGGGGCCCTCTCCCATTATTATTATTACAAGACAACAGACATAGAAGGTTGAGCCAAGCCCAGAAGACAGATGGCCAGGACGCTTACCTTAGCATTCTATCAGACCTCTCTGACACATCATTCATCATCTAACTATTTATGCATTGAAGTGGATGGGGCACACCGCATTCAAACACACTCTTTGGATCCTTTTTATGGAACTAACCACTGTTCTCTTCAACTTCAACTTCAACAAACATACAAACAAATCCACTTACCCTTCAACCCCATGCATACACTACCCTTTCATTTCTTTCACTTTACATTTTTGGACATTAGTCGTCAAAGAAAATCAATCAAACAAACAAACAAAACTTATTTGTAATGCATTTTGGTAACAGCTGGGTCATGGATCCCAAATACAAACCAAAAGTCTTTCCTTGTTTCTCACTAAATGCACAATGGAATCAGATAAAAAGGTCATCAGTTTTCATTATGCTTATTGGAACCGAAAATGGAGGAGAAGTCATGCTGCGACGAGTTAAGAATAGACATTGAAAGCCGAGTTTCAGAAACTGAGCCAGTATTGGATGACTTATCATCCAAATCAACCCACGACTCCCTGTCTTTAGGAGACCATTCACCAAAGAAGTGATGCATAGTCTTCTCCGGTTTCTCCCTGTCCATCTTACTCTGCATCTCATTATATTTTCCCACCGCGTAGTAATGCTCGTCTTGCTTCACTTGCTTAGGGGAACCGCCAAAGCTCTGCAGCTGCAAGTAAGAAGAGTAGTCACCTTGTAAAGCTGAGCAGTTCTTGTGTCTGGGGGATGAGGAAGAACAACTCATTGTCAGAGGAGTTAGCTGCCAGGGATCTTCCATAGACGAAGCAGAGAAGCCTCTCATGTTCCCAGAATGTTCTTCTGATACAAATGGATGCTTATCAACATCTTCCTTCGCCCCATAGACATACCTATTTCTTCTTCTCGGTTACAAGAAGGTAAAATCATCAGTCAAGTCTCAAAACAAACTATCTCGGAAACAGAAAGAAGTGTTTTTGTGCAAACCTGTAATCTGCAGGAGGGTCCAGAAGTAAGGATGGGTTGGAGTTGTGCTGAAAATGGGCAGAACCAGGGGGCCTAGAGAAGGAGCCATGTTGATAGAGAAAAGGGTGAGGAGGAGGAGGAGTATTGAAACAAGAATGGGTATGGATTTCAGAGGGAAATGAGTTGGTGCTGAGTGAAGCGGTGGAGTTGTGGGTGATGGAGGAGATGGGTGGGGTAGATGGATTAGAGGTTAGAGCAGTTATTGTTGCTGTCGGTTTCAAAACTTCCACAGGCTTTCTTGAACGGTTTTTGCCTCTGTGCATATGTCTCTCACAGTATTTAGAATCTGGATATGCCTCTTTGGAGCATCTCCATTTTTTGCCGTCTGTTCTTCTGCACCTTCCAGGCTCTGGGTCGATTTTCCTCCCCGAACCCATCTGCACGAAGTTCCATCCAACTGCACACACACAATATAAACCCAAAACTTGGGCATCATAATGAATGATACGGGTCAAAACAGAAGAATAGGAAGTGTTACCGTCTGGATATTGGTGGGGAAAGAGCCTGGAAATGAAAGGAGTGTCCAAAGAGGATCTCTTCATGGTGTAGAGCAGATCAGGAGGGACGGGGATGCCGGAGACCATGTACTTGAAGATGAGGGCTTGGTGTTCTAGCTCTTGCCATTGAGCTGCAGTGAATGGGAGCCTGTTTCGTGCGCTCATTTCTTGAGTTTTTCTTCAGTGAAGAAGAAGGAGAAATGTTGAAGGGCCAGGGAGGAGTGGAATAGGTATATTTATTTGAGGGACCATTGGGGGGTGCAGAATCTTGTGTGAATGTTTAAAACTAATGGTTCTGATTATAATGCCGGATGCTCACTCCTCAGTCCTCTGTTTCTTTCTCTCTCTGCTCATAATATTATGACTGCAACGCTCTGCAGCTTCTGGTTCTGCCTGCCAACCCTTGTCTCTGACATCTCTACGGAAATCCACAAGATAAAGGCAACGAAAATAATAAACAAAACAAAAGGAAAAGGAAATTTATTTACAAGCATGTATGAGACAGACTAAAAGAGTTGGAGTCTGAAGCTAAATGCCTGCCTGCACCTGAAAAACTTTGTACGCTTTAAGCTTTTACTGCAACTACCAACTCTGTTTACTTTTTCTGTTCATTTACCCCGGAGCTTCAGACTATATCCCACTGCCCCCCACTTACCGTTTTCCTTTTTCCTTTTTTCCATTACAACTGTCCCTTTCTTTTCCTTTGCGTTTTCCTTGGTTGCTTCATTTTAGCCTCTTGCTTTAGGATTAAACAGCGATCGAGTTGACTGACAAACATTGGAAAAGCAACCGCATTTTGCCATTAGTTGATGGGGGTGTTGTTCAAATCCAACCTTTGTTTAATGCATTAAAAGTTGGATGTTTTCTATAAAACCAACCCAAACGCAGTCCCTGTCCCTGTCCGTCTCTGTCTCTGTCTCTCCTTGGGATATGTACGAAACAGGAGCAGAGCTCGAGGCATTCAGTCAAGCCAACCAGGTCCTTACTGTACCTTGCAATCCTCGAAACAAAAAAACGAAGCAAAGCAGTGGCTGCAATCTGTAATAAATATCATGCTTTGCTCTTTCCCTATCATTTTATTGTCTATGAAATACAGTCCACTTTCATCTACGTTTCTTAAAATGCTAAAACTACTACAAACATCCAATGTCGTAGAAATGTCTAGGAAACGAAGAAACCGGAGAGTATGAGGTGGAGACATTTCCTGCCTAGAAAATTGGAACTTATGGATTAAAAAGGAGAAGAAAATGAATCATTTGTAGTATATAAATTATACATCATTGAACTTGCGTTCATCAGTTCATGTGGTAGCGGGGATCATTCCTTCTGGAAGAACGAGAGAACGAGATCGGTATGCACAGAGAACAACTGTGTGTCCACAAAAAGCTGCTCACCACAATAGAGACAACAAACCACTTGTTAGCCAGTTTTCAAAAATATAAGATCAATACTCTAGAAAACCTATGCAGGTGATTGACTACCTTCAAAAATGGCCGATCACGGCTTGGGAACGACTCAATGAAGCTCTCCTTCAACAGTAATGAAACCTAACAGAACAAAGCGATTAGCTATTAGTAGCCTATCACAAGTTCATACAACAAATCAAGTATATCCCCTACATGCTCATGAACCCAGTTTTGAACGCTCACTTTTCCTCGTTTAAATTGAGCCGTGCAACAATACAGTTCCTAATCGATGGATATCTATACAACCCAAGAAGGCAGCAGATGATTACAAATTGGCTAACAACTTCAAAAGAGATTGCAAACCCACCTTATCGTCATTCGATTGTACGTTAGTAATCGTATGTGAACGGAGGTTAGCGCAGAGAGAGTCCAAGTATAATCTTAGCACTTTTAGGAAACCCCTGGCGGCTTCAACCTGTACGCAATAAACAAATTAAAGAAATTTACAACGACGCATATACCTGCGAAAAAACTTTCTTACCTGCACATCAGTGCATTCAAGCACTGGCCTCTTTCTCCCTAAATAACTTTCTCCAACTAGATCCGCGTGATACGGTCTTAACGATGAGAATAACTCCTTTTGTTTTGGCAGCTGAGGTATTGTTGGGGCCTTGACCTGTCATGTTCAATAGTAGTGCAAATCAAATGCCTATTCACAGCAAGCTAATAACTCATAAAAATTTGTATGAAGATCAAAATTCTGGAAAAATGTAGAGACCTGGTTCTTGTTCACATCAACCAAAATGGCATTGGTCAGCTTCGACTGTACTTCACTGGTTTTATTTTTCACACCGACCTACTTAAAAGTTCCCATATAAGTAATCAATAAGAAAAATACCAGAAATAGCTGTGAGAAACAACCAGAAACAAAATGCTTACAATGTAAGGAACAGGGGCATCCAAAAAGTCCAGCATGTCATTTGGTAACACCTGAGTGATTATGTTCATGAATCATGACAGTTGAGACGTTCAGAAGCCAATAAACACAAATATCTTCCAAAACAAGAGATAAATCACAGGACGATAATTATCAGAGATCAGAAATCATACTGGCATCAGCAAGCTTTGCCACTGGTAGGGACGAATCATAGGGATAATCGATAAAACTGAAGCAGATAGGATACCCTGCATGTTGTATGAGTTACTCTCACATGCATATTAAATAACTTCACTAACGAGACCTCCAATCAACAGCCAAATTGAACACCGTAATCAGACCAGAACAAACACGAAGCAAGAAAAATCATGTACCAGATTGGAACAAACGATCACGATCTGCTTCTCCAGCAGCACTCCAGCTAAAATTGATAAAATCTGTGGACAGATGAATTTATATGGCTCAAGTTGTCAGCAATATTAGTAACAATCAGTATTCCATCCCCCAGCCCCAGAAACTATGAGAAATGGGGGTCAGGGCTGACAATTCAAGGCTGCCCATATACTTACATGCTCGAGGCGTAAAGAACCACACATGCTTGCAACAGTCCATACTGACAAGGCATTTGCTTCTTCCTCTACCATGAGAGCGCCGTGTGCCTGAGAAATCAACAGGAGATAAAGCTAATCATGCCACAGAAGAGGGCATCGCTTTAACTTAAAAAGTGATTACCTCTGCTAATTCAAGACTTGTACTGCATAACCTTGGATCAATGGTCGAGCCAGCAACATGTAGAACTGTTTCGCCTGATCTGTAATACTCCATGGAATGCAGGTGCTCCAAAGGATGAAACTTAACAGAACAGCCCCTAGCAGGGTAAGACAACTGGTAATACTCGCATATGATTTGTAACGATCCATTCTTATTTTCCTGCAAATTCAGAAAAATTGAATTCTTAAAGAAAATGGCAAGAGAGGTACCTACAAAACCACAATTGTTAAATTTCTAGAACCTTGGCCCACTCAAGAATTTCAAGTAGGTCTGAGGAATCATCCTGGCCAGAAAACGATGCCTCCTCTGTCTCTGTGTCATCAGCATCACTCCTGAAATTTCTGTCTTCACTCGGAGACCCCTGAAAACTACATCATAGAAATTGAATGTTAAAAAAACCAGCTTAAAAATGAGTCAAACTCATTGCTGCAGTGTCACTCTGATTACGCTTAATGTAGAACATTTAACAAGTTGTTAATATTAGACAGAACGTTTCGAAACATTAATGTAAGTACAATAATCAGTTGTTAATCATATACCTTGAGGACGAATCAGAGCTTTCATATTGATAATAACGGAGGAGAGGAAGAACCGCATTTGGTAAACGCCTATCAATCGCTTGATTGTTTCTTGTAAAATCATCAACATCGATATCATGATTTTCCTTATGTACAGTAACAGATTCTGTTTTGGCAGTAACGACCTCTGGTTCTCGATCGAGTGTGACAACTATATCATCACTAATGCCCTTTTTTAGACATTGAAAATTTCCATTGTGCATTTGATGCTCAAGATGAGTTTCATCACTCATTATTCCTTGAGAATATTCCTCTTTTCCCTCGTGTCTGTCTTCAGCTGCACTCTGATCAAAAGTCATGCAACCGATGTCTTCCGCCAAATCTTCTTCATTGCTCAAATTCTCTGTGGATTCCAAATCCAAAATACCAATACCTTTTGTTAATCTTTGCAGCCTTTCTTCGGTGAAGATGCTACAGGAAAATTAATAAAAAATAAACAAAAAAATAAAATATTAGAAAATTGACATAAAAAAAAACAATTTAGTTTCACAATGAAAAGAAAAGGGGAAAAGCCATACATTCTCTTAAACTTCTTGAGAATGTATGTACTAAGTTTCGATATCATTAATCCAATTACCATCTTAAGCTATAACCACCAACACAAGATTATCATTGGCATCCAAATTTCAATCTAAATGTTTCTTTTATTAACATCAAACCATTTCACATTGGAAGTTAAAGAATAGAAATTTTACTATCCAGTATCCACACAAACAAAAGGTGGCACGAATTCCTAGCATATGAAAATGCCAACTCTCATATCAGTGCTCCCTGTGAAGCATTACAAAGGAAAATATAGATTTCAATCTGTAACCAAAACAACCAGAATTTTCGAGTATCCAAAAGCTCAAAGAAACCATTGTAGGTCTTTTTTCAGGGGGAGAAGAGAATCATTCTACATCTTAATATGGGGGAATATGGTATAAAAACATCAGAATGTTTGAAGTTCATACATATACCTATTCAACACACCAAAATGTAATTCGAAGAATGGCAAGCGAGATAGAATGCAATAGCATCTGCGTGTGGTTAGTATGTAACGGCTCAAGGATGAGTAGGAAGGTGCTTTCTCAGAAGCAGAAAGCAACCCAGATGGTTTCTGCACTAATTCTTCAACTAAAACACAGCATCCGTACAATGTTGAATCATCAGCAACCTGCAAAGCATAGTTTGCAAATGAGTGTTGTAGTTCCCTTACAGCTTTAGTTTTGCACTATTGCTTTGTGGCCTGTACTTTAGGGGTCCTATTTCAAATTCACTCTATGTATGTAAGGCGAACTTTTCCAATCCAATGGGGTAACAATTATGATGAAAATATGTAAGGTAGGAAGTACATAATTGTAGCCCCCACTCGCATAGGAGAGTTAACAATTGAAATTTCATAGTACCTGTAAGCGGAATACAAATGAGAGGTCACTTTGCTTGAAGTGTTCCTGCAAGTGCAACATAACGATCGGGACAAGTTACTAATACGTGTAGCTACAGCATGGTGACTCAAGTTAGAACAGAGATCTTTATTCAAACGCTAGTGTGCTAATTATATTACCAATGACAGAAACATGGTTGTGTTCTTAAATTATCCTCGAAATTTACACAGCTAATTGCCAAAATAATTAAAGACAAACTGATCTAAACTCCAATAAATATACTCTGTTTCTTTAAGTATTAAGCAACACTACCATGGATGCTCCTGCCAATTCATTTAATTTTGTGTTTAAAGTTCCAACCCATTTTCCAAAAAGAAAGTACCTGCCCAAGAAGAATCTCGTTGAACTCACTCATGGAAGGAGTTTTTTCGACAGCGTGAACCTGTAGTCACAAGATGAAAACTTAGGGAAGAAAGAAAGTGATCTGAGACTCTAAAGAACAATTTAGGAAGCAAGCAGACAATAGTGCTGCTAAGAAAACACTTTTTTTGGAGTTCCATTGATATGGTGAAATGTAAACAAGAAATCCGATCATGTTGTTGTAATGGCCCAAGCCCACCTATTGTCCTCTTTAGGCTTTCCCTTTCGGGCTTCTCCTCAAGGCTTTAAAATGTGTCTGCTAGGGAGAGATTTCCACACTCTTATAAAGGATGTTTCATTATCCTCCCCAACCAATGTGGGACATCACGGTTGTAATTACAAGGGACAGTTCCAATGAGCAGCTAGAGTGGATAAGTTTTAATTACAACAAGGTTAATTTAACTTGCTCCATGAAAGAGCAAGGAACGTAATGGAATCAAGAAACTTAGGAGTGTCTCATTTCTTGTAGGTGAAGATGTGATCATTCCACTCAAGCAGCACCATATCTACTTTGTCTTTTTAATGCACCAGATGGTAAATAATTGTGAAACAATGCACCTATCTGTTTTAAAATTGTGCATAATACATAAGAAAAGATTCAACAAGAAACCAACCTCCACACCTCCTGGAAAGCAGAATGAAAGAAGGTCCTTGTACTTGCACGGTAACTGTTTCTCTGGAGGGTAAACAAAAAGGACCTGACAGGGGATGAAAAATTCATAACTCAAGCAACGCAGGCAGGAAGGTCTTATTGATTTGTAGGACAAGTTTAAACCCACCTGTGGTTCAAGATGTGGTTCCACCCGAGATTGACTCTGACTATTATTAAGAGCAGTTCGCACTCTCCCGGAACCTTCAGACTTCCTTGCAACATACTGCCTTTGAAGTGCTTGAATGTCACAATTAGGGTGCAGCCCAACAACAACCATGCTCTCAAAAATCCTAGTCGGCTCCTTCTGAGATCGATGGTCCTGAAGTTTGGAGAAAGCTCAGACACGCAGCAAAAGATATGTTGGTGGAAAGCAATTGAGAAGAATGAAAAAACTAACCAAGTACTGCAGCTGGAAATTGGCCCATTGACGCTTCTGGGTAGTGAGAACTTCAGGATTGTAGGTTCCTGCAGTTTTGACTTGCGGAGGACTAGAAAAGCCTTTAAGAACTTTATTAACTTGACGCTGCAATCTCTGGAGTGGACTGTTGGTATCGTCGCCTTTTGAAGAATATATAACAGAAGGACGAGGAGAGCGAGCCTCGGATGCGGCAGCAGCAGCGGCAGCAGCCACAGCTCTTGCAACATCTTCAGTCGTCTGGAGGAAAAGTGAAGCACCCCAACGTGTGCTCCCTGTCTCTTCCTTCGTATCCATAACTAAAACCCTTCTCCCTTCTCCTCTCCTCCTACCCAAATATGCAACGTTTTAGCATAAAACAAACAATTACACGATTCTAAACAACACCCAATTTTACTAGGGATTGGGAATACGACTCCACACAGTGAATGAAATAAAGCTTTGCTGATGTACCCAAAAGCCACGAAGATATCCCCTTTTTTTGCACCGAACGTGAATCCCAAGCCGAACTTGACTGAGAAAGTGCCACAACAGAACCGCCTGATTCAATTTTCACAAATTACCCTCCTAAAGAAACTCATTGAATTCGCCGAAACCATTATTTGAAAATTCAAAAACCAAAACACCAGGAATATTCTTCGATTGTTGTATAAGAGAAATTAGCATCCAAAGCAAAACCCGAACATAATCAGAAGCCGAAAGGAAAACAAAAAGAAACGAACCTTTGACGATGCCCCAATATACAATTGAAGAGGGAAATCGTTTAGACGGCCATAACAAAGCTATGCTCCACTAAGCGGTCAGCGAAGGAGAAGAAGATACAGAAAGAAGATGGCGAAGGGCGAGGGAAGGGAAATTGGGCACACAGTAATATTATATTTAATTTAATTAGCTGAATAAATTTTATTGATTTAGTAAAAGAAGAATAAAGGAAAGCAATCAAGGTTTTCCCTTTCCTCTACGAGTATTGAGACGAACAAAATAAGGAAGGGGAAAAGAAAACGTTTTTTAATCTTTTCTTCAGAGATGCAACGAAGGGTGGGTTTGTTCTTGCCGGTTGCATCCGAAGGCATTCCATTCGAAGGAGAAAAAACAAGGAAATTCAATAAAGTAAGAAAATTTCAATCGTTTTCATCACTGTGAAAGGTCCCATAAGGAAGATTCTAAATAATTAAAGTTTTAATTCCGTAAGGATACATTTTATTTTGATAATTTTGTGATCAGACTTGAAATTATTTAATTTTAGGAGATAAACAAGGGATGATCGTGAATGCGATAAAAGGGCTCCACTTCCTTAGCGGACCATGGCTTGCCTTATTTAATGACCCGAATCATTGTACCGCCATTCTTGGCACGTTTACTAAACATGCGTTATATGTTGGATCTTAGAATGGATTTGAGCTTGGTTGTTGTCTCGAAGGCCCAATAGAAGAGGGAGGCGTTGCGAGGAACGGCGGGAGCCATTGGAGAAGCCTGCAGGAGCTTGAAAGAAAGAAGGAAAGAAAAAGAATGATGATGGGCATGAAACAATCATTATTGAAAGCATGCGCAGAGAGACAACCCCAGTGCCAGCGCACATGTCATCCCAACGCGCAGATTTCCAACATTGGGTATGACTTTTGAGTGTCCAGACACGTCTCTTTTCACAATAATTGGTGCCTTTGCTTTTTATTTGGCTATTCCAAACAGTATCACTTAGCAACCAAAGGATGTTTGATTTGGAACCACCGGATTCCCAATTTCCTGCTGCTACTGCTACTGCTTTGAAGGATTTGAAGCCCTTGTCCTGTTGTATTTAGTTATGGAATAGATCTCATCCGAACACCACATTCCAATACAAAGAGTCAAAAGAGGTGTAGAAAACGATCCATCTTCTAGTCAACAACACCGAATCAAATCCATCTAAACCAGAGTATTCAGAATCAATGGAAAATATCAGAGTGGTACCAAAATGAAAGTTTATTGAGATTATGGTATCATTGTTTTGTATTTATGAATTATAATGCAGTTCCATTCAGCATCTGTATTACCCCTTAGGGGGCAGGTTGGATACATGCTATAATTGCTTGCGTTTCTATGGTATACTCAACGATCATAACTGCAACAAGCTCGATTAAATCTGACCTGATGTCGGCCTCTCGACGATGAAGTATTCTCTAACCAGAGACCTTTCCAAAATTTGAAAGTTTACAACGGTCGCTGTTGGTGGGGACGTGCCCAAATAAATAGTTAAACCTTTAACCTCTTCTTATGGAGTCGGAGGAGTCGAAGAGAATATAAGCCAATCCTTTTGGCCTCTACTTTTCTGTGGTTTTATCACAAATGCATCCTGGATACGGATTTGCATAAAAACTCTCCTCCAACTTTGGGAATTCTCCAGCCACTCTAAGATATGGAGCCCCAGCTCGATTTTTATGAAGCGCTTTCACTTTCGAACTGAATTTTTTCCACGATATCTTTCCTTCATCGAGGTTATCGACAAGTTTGACGAAATTCTCCCTGCGCCAACAACATTACGAAAACTATCATGCACTGTGAAGGGATTGAATGGGGTAGTTGAAGTTAAAAAGTTGTAAGATTACTTGTCTGGACTTATGGTCTTCTTGAAGCCCTCAAAACGCCTGTGACCTTGAATTGCCTTCGCCATATTGCCATCATATGTATAGATAAAAACATCGCTTTGAAGGGCTACGACGTAGTCGATGCCAGCTAACATGTTCTGGTGATTCTTGAAAGGATTCAACTCATCTTCTGTGGAGAGTGTAGAATGGGAATATATATTGGGGAAATGATCCTTAAGATATTGCATACTTCCATTTCCATAAGCCTCACCAGCTACCAAATATATTCTGGTGCTGGAAGGAAACCCCAAGCCTCTGAGCAAAAGAGAAGTCTCCCTTGGGGTCAGCGGGCAGCCACCGAGCAACCTTCTCTCCGTCCCGTTGATTTCCTTCTCTTTCCAATGGGCAACTTCATAACGCATTCTACGCAGCTCATCGTCTTCGGCTGTTGTCAAATTATGACTGCACCCTGTAAATGCCAGCATATCCTTCTCATACCTATAATAACAAGAACATGGTATCATTTTATGATATTGTTTCGTAGCAGACGAAGAATATAGAAAGGTAAACAGGAAAATTTTGGAAGCTTATCAAACGCAACGCTTGCCTCAAATGAAGAGCAATATAAAGGCTTCCATTCTGTCGCATTCTAGAGACCAAGGTGTTCCCCAGCTCTTCAATTGGAGATGAATATTTCAATGCTTCGAAATTGACACGACATCTCAACTTCTGTATAGAACTCGAGAGACCATTGTTAGCCAGCCGGGAATCCGTGTGAGTAAAATACATCACCTTATGCTGCTTCAGCAGTGGTAGGACCTCTGCTTTATAGTAACCAGTCTGATAGGAATTAAAGAGTTGTTACACGGACAGTCGACAAGCTGAAGTGTTTAAATTGGATTAAGCTACATTACACTAAATGAAACATGCCATGAAGAAGAAGAAAAGAATTTCTGTAACGGCCCAAGCTCACTGCTAGCAGATATTGTCCTCTTTAAGCTTTCCCTTTCAGATTTCCCCTCAAGGTTTTTAAAACGCGTCTGCTAGAGAAACCGTTCTCCACCCCAACCGATGTGGGATTTCACAATCCCTTTCTAAACCATTCAACATAAAAATACACAACAAAAGGTTTGATCTTAATGAATGACGCAAACAAGATAGTTAGATCCTCAAAACATGGCTCATTTCGTGTTGCTAGAATACAATGATAAACAATCAAAACATGGTTAAGAATGATGACCTTGGACCAAGAAATTGGTGTTTTGTTGAAGGGCACTAATTCGGCGTACGCGGGTGGTAGTGTCTCTACTATATGAACATCGTTCTCCAATGTCTGAAGAAAGTGTTGCCAATTGAACAGATCTTTAAAGCCACTACAAACACAGATATCAACTCAGTTATAACACATTGATGCCAAGTCCAGCATTATTCACATAAAAGATGTGTGCAAGCTTCGAGATATTAGAACATTAACATGATTGCACGAAACCTTTCATCTGCCCAATAAGACTTATGATCGAGCGAAGGAAGGACGAGCACTGCTTTCATAACCTTTGCAATCACAACCATATCACAGATCTACACCATAGAAAGATATCAGAAAATAGTTGGTTTTTAAAATAGCCTATGACACTAGAAAGCAGAAGAACTAGACCCCAAATCTCATCTGATTCAAGCCACCGTTGGCATTTACGAGAATGTATCCATTCGTCTTCGCATCTAGCTCTGCAGAAATAGAGAAAATGGAAGGCGATAAACTTAAAGCCTAAATTTATAAACACTATTTACACGTTCCAACGAAAATGGACAAGCAACTATTTGTAGATTAGCAGAACATACTTTTGTGGCGCCTTCCCTCGTCGATGCAAGGAGCAAAATTCTCGCTGTCGGGTTTCGTCCAGATTTCTGAATACTGCAATCAGTTTGATAGGGTAAGAAATATTTCAATTCTCATCCGTCTGGTCTTGTTGTTTATAATAAGATCAACAAAAACCAGATGGAGTTAATGAGCCAATCATAGAACTTTTTAATCTCGGGTTCCTCACTTACCTCCACACCATTTTGACTCCCGACTACACGTGATTCCATCATCGGAGTTCGCTCCATACTACTTTCCCCTTCCCTATATCTAAGATTATGAGATTTCTGATCCACTTGATTTCTACTTGTAATGGAGTCGGGTTTATCCTATATAAAGGATAAAATGTTTAGGTAAGAAGAGCTGTGGATCAAGTATGGTAAACAAACACATATATTCGATCCCACTTAAGTTTCTCATTCTTAACATGGTATCAAAGCATCAACTGGAAAAATAGAGGCTTGCACATAAAGTAAAACAAGTCAAAACTATAAATTTCGATCAACCTGATGTGATTCATTGGTCTCGATGACTGATCCAAACCAACCATTCATGCAGATCTTGAGAATACCCAGAAACAAGCAAAGACCACAGAACATCATGAACATCAAATGTCCCAGTTTCCTTTTCTCCCTTAGCCTAAAGTCCAGAGAAACAAAACCAGGATTTAACAAACTTTTAGCAGCAACACCCCCGTGAGTTCTCTGGCTAACATGTTGACCTGTCTTCCGTTCCAAACCGGATTCAAAGCCATCCACTAGAACCGTGCTTCTGAAAGCTTCTGATCTGGGTGAGTTCACAGGAAGATCAATCTCATGATGGCTACTAAGCCCATTATTTTGGATGGTGTTGGAATTAGTGCTATTATTAATGTCATTGCTGTTGTTGTTACGCTTGAAGGAGTGTGCACGACGAGTTATAGGACCCGAGAACCGTGGGCTGTTGACCCGTTGAGAAACGCCATCGTTGCTGTTGTGGTGGCGCTGTGGAACCATGATCTCTGCCCCCACCCCTAATGTTGATTATAGTTATGATATCACCATCAAACAGCAAGAACAACTTTGGAGCCTCTTGCTTGCAGTCTCTTCTGCAGCATTCAACATAACACTTCAAAACTGGCAAACCCCACTTTCGATGATCTGATTACCAATGGATATAAATAAGTACAAGTTAATGCTTATAACCAAAAACAGAGGACAAAATGTAAGAGAGACTAAAAAATATACCCCCTCTTCGATTTGCTTCTTCTCAATCTAACCTGAACAGCCCCTTTTCAAGTTGCGGCAACCCCTCCACCAAATCTCATACTTCATTCATCAAAACCACTACACAACCCTTCAATCATTGATCCTCCGCCCACCCACCAAATACTCCATCAAAGCTAATCTAATTATGTTAATACAAAGCCTTGAAGACAGATGCATACCTTGGGTCGGCGATAAGAATACGAATGAGACGAAGGGATCACAGAGAGAGAATGGTTTAGGAGCACTAATGGAGGATGCCCAATATGGATTTTGGAGAGTGGGGTCTGAGGAAATGGACTGAGGTCAGACCCTGACCCTTCCAGGAAATCAGCTTAGATCTTTCTTCTCTTTTTTTTTTTTTTTTTTTTTTTTT